TATTTTTTTTACCTGTAAAAACCATATAAATAATTCCACTGATACTAACTATTCTGACCTGTAAAATCCAGAGGTATTATTTTTTGACCTAATTTTATTTTTAAATTTTAAGTCAAAACTAAATTTGAATATGTAATTACATACATTTTCCATCGCAATTTAAGGCTACAAATAATTGCACAACGCGTTCAATGTCATAGGCTATCATTTTTATATCTTACATTTTTTTTATTATTATCGTGTAGATTGTAATAGTTATACGTAAATACCTAAAATACATATTTCGTAGAGTTGGCGTTCTGTTTTCTGATATAATGTGTATAAAGCACGTAATAGATACTACATTTCCATAGATAGTGATAGTTTTTGGACAGAGTACTTTTTTTCTCACCAATTTCACGTTATACCTAGTACCTGGGTTGCCTCTAGCGAGTGACGCATAATATATTTTATTACCATAGCAACCTTGTTGGTCCATTTTTTTTTATTCAAATATTCAAAATTTTAAACCAATCCTCGCAATATTGTAGTTACATTAGAACTCATCTTTATAATAAAATTGTTTTAAATTTGTAATTATTGTGACTTTGAAATTTGAATAATGCTGAAAAAGCCAAAAAAGCCCATCGTGGACGTAAACGCACCATAGAGCAACGACGATAATTCGAGCAATTTAAGTGGTCGGTTCGCCTTTCAGTTCTTTGACGACTGATGAAGAAAAGTACAGCCAACATTTAAATCTAAACGCCAAAGACCCTCAAAATCGTATCCATTATTTTTTCATGCAGGGAAGAATAGACATCACGCTGTAACACGCTACGTTTACTACAGTAGCAACTGTAACACTCTACGCTAATTCGTGCATACAAATTTGAATGTTATTTTTTTTTATTATATCGGTGGAATTTACATTGACTAAGTACTGGTGGAGTTGTTTACATTCGAGTTTTTTCAAGTCAAAGAATGTAGGTACCTACATATTGTTATAAATCCTACTCCAAAACCTTCTAGGTACTTGAAAATATATGAAATGTACACGCCCGCCAATATTATTATTATATCACCACTCATCAGTCATCACTTTCTGTGAACTCTTTGATGGGCAGAAGCTGCTCGTCGAACATGTCAATTATCCCGATCCGTCGACAGTCGGAAGTCAATACTTGTCGGAGTTCTTACTTTCTGGTTTTCGCCATTGGTTCGTTGTTTTTCAAAATTACGAAGAAAAACGTCAAGGAAGTGGCAAAGAAACGTAAGCGAGAGTGGCTCGTAAACGAGCTGTATACTTGGAATCGTTTTTCGAAAACGACGATTTATCATCGCTCTCAAAATAAATACTCCGACACAATATTTTATGTAACAGCCACCGCAAAGGGCGGCGGTACCCTACTCCCTTGTAAGATCTGTTTTCCAAGTAAATCCGCGTGAAAAATATATAAATGAAAATATAATAATTCTAAAAATAATACTAAGCAGTATTTCACCATGTGATATAATATAATAACAAACAGCAATAAATCGTTTAAAGCTTCGTACTCGTGAATAAGAGAAAAAAATACCAGTTATTATAGTGTTGAGGATGTTTAGAATCTGTCAGTTCTACAAGGTATAGTCATGACAACTACACCATGTAGGAAATTATTAAGAATAATAATAATAATATATTTAGTATTACTGTGGTATTTTCCAGGAATTTCTTTATACTTTATTGACTTTTAACTCGTCTTACAAACACATCATAAATTGTTATACAGAGTAGTACTAGCTGCTGAGTTCAAAAAATCGATAAATGTTCAAACATTATAAAACTGTAATAATTACAATTTAAAATGGTAACTTCAATTTATTTTCGGGAACAATATTGTTGGGGCTAGGTAAATTGAGTCCGAGATAAGTTTGGTACATTTTGAAAGCGGTAAATTGAGTCCCGGGAAAAAACAGGTAGGAGGTAAGTTGAGTCCCGGGAAAAAAAAGGTAGTAAGTAAATATTATTTATATAAGGATATATAATATTTAGATTTATATAAATTAATTTTAAAAAAATATTGTCGTTAAAAATTATCATTATTATTATATATATTATATACTTGGTAAAAACTTCATTGATATTGATTTAATAAACTCAAATCGGGTTATAACATTACTGGTGTATTTGGTAATTTGCTCCCTTAGGTTTTGTTCGTTATCGAGCGTGCGTTTCTTTTTTTAATTTTTACTTCTTAATTTTATTTGTGTCTCTGACTGAACTTCAAGTTATTCATCAATAATGTTAAAAACATTGTTAAATGCGGACCAAATATTCGGGGAAAATCGGTGAGATAGTAAGATACCGTCATATACGTTATATATAGTATATAGTCCTTACTTATCGGTACCTATCTTAATTGTGTTTAACCAAAGGTACGATGTTACAAAGTTATGGACTTTTATTGACTGTGAATGCTTTGGTGTTGTTAAGAGTGTATCGTTGGGGAAAAATATAATTATATAATTAATAATTATTATTTAAAAATCGTTTTTTCCCGGGACTCAACTAACCTACTACCTTATTTTTTCCGGGACTCAACTTACCTACTACCTGTTTTTCCCCGGGACTCAATTTACCGAGTTAGGGTCATTTGGGACTCAATTTACCAATCCCGATATTATTGTACATAGGTGATAGATATAGGTACTATAATAAATAAAACTTTTATTTTTATTTATCTTAATATTGATCTTAAATATAAAATCTGTGATAATACTATTATGTTAAATGTTAAGATACATATTAAGCATAATGTAAAAACAATGTACCTATTATTAAAAAAAAACCCTCCTAGCCGCTCTAACATGCCTAATAAACAAAATCCCACTCCTTATCACTCCCACTCCAAAATAATTAACACACATCACACAAATATATTATATATATTTTTCAATTATCACTTTAAACTGATAAAACTATGTAATTTGTCAAATATCTCTAGATATAGGTAGCCTATGGCTAGGAATGTCTTATGTTAATTAAATAATAAAAAAAAAACAACCGTTGTGATATTATATTGTGTCGCACTTGTAGAAAAAATTAAAAAACAGTTTACTGTCACCGCTTAAAATTTAACCATCGATGGAAAACCTAATTTTGGTGTAGGTAGATATCACCTGTACATCGCACATTTTGATCAAATGGATATCTTTTGAATGAAATAAAGTCTGAATCTCAGAATATGTAGAATGTATGGTAAGTACAAAAAAAATATAAGCCCAAAATTGTTTGAGTATTGTTTTTTATCTGCCGGTTGTTAACAATGTTCCGTTTATGAACATTTGATCAATAATTTTAAATTGAAACATATTTTAGTGAACTGTAAAAGTTAAAACTATTTTATAATATTATTTTTATTTTTCTAGAGCTTTTATTATAAGCATAATCAGACGAATTTTATTCTCGTTTTAATAACTTTAGTCCAATTTCGTTTTTAGAATTCACAAAACATTGATTTTTAAATTGCTACCATAATATTAAACATTTTTTTTTTAGAATGCGATGTTTCAAACTATACTGTTTTTCACAAAACAATTTTAGACTCTATAAATCGTCGTAACTCAGAGTAACTAGGTACATTTAAAACGAACAACGATCGTGTGAAAATGATCGTTATTGGATATTTTTAGTGCAATTTTAGATTGCATTTTGATAATTATCATATTTCAATTTATTTCCTATTTATAAGAACCTTCTGTAAAAAAATTTAACATTTAATTTATGTATGCCGCTTGCGGGGTGACCATTGCAGGTGTAGGATAATAATTGATTTTGTAGTCGCCCAGCATGATGGGCGGACAGACGTCTTCAGACGAATGGGTCGTGTGTTTGTCATAATGTCATGCCACCACCGTGGTTGAAAAGCGCTTACGAAAGCATTAATTTTAAACGACCTATGTAAACCGTTTTTTTTTTCACATTATCCAACGCGCAGCGACCACGGTGTACATAAAAACGATCATGCGATGGTATTCGCCCCAACCACCCGTTATAATATATGACACGTGCAATAATATATCAATGCGTACAACAAAGTATCCATAAATCGTTGTGCAAAATATAATATTATGTGTCAATAGGTACCAGGTCGTGCATCCTGCAGAGTCCTGGTAAGTTGCATGACGGTGAGCTTATATAATATCATGTATATTATATAGTTGACGTCAACCTACGACTTACTCTCAAAGTACGAATTGCAGGTGCTAGGAAAATGGCAATACTCCGCTAAAACCAGATCAGTAATGGATCCAGAAGTGTTTAAAGTGGTGCTATTGGTAGTGCAGGGGTTGTGGGGTTGTAATTTTTAAAATTATGAATTTTTAGACTTTTCAATACGACTTGTAAAGACTATGCGCACTCTGAATAAAAAATAAGGAACTTTGTTCCAAAAAAAAAAAATCAATAGATACAATAAGGAACTATATTATTCATAATTTCGTGGACTGAACCTATTAGTTTTTTTAGTACAGAGTATAGACCAATAGGAACATATTTTTTTGTAATCGAACCGTGGGGAGGCTCTCCGTGTATCGACCGCTGAAATGTCACTGGTTATTGCGTGTTTAATATAATATGTATAAAAATGTAAAAATTAGATTATATACGTAGGTCCTATTGGTAAATAATGTACATATTATTTTGTTTTAATTATTATTTCGGTGTTGATCTTTTAAACATTAACGGCATTAACCGACAAACGTTGTTACTTGTTGTGCACCGACAAAATGTAATATTTATCCCTACTGATAACCACTAGGATAATATTGATAATAATATACAAATATAAAGCCGCTACTGTACTGTACATTATAGATAATAAAGTAATAAATAAAAAATAGATAGTTTTCACGTTTATCGCACCTCGTAGTTTTACGTATCTATTACATAATCATTAATCAACCTTAAAATTGGTTTAACTATCTATATATCATTTGAAAGACTATAATGACATATTATTTTTCAACCGTTGTAGGCAGTAGACAATGTTTTGGAATCGGCCTTGAACGAAGCTCTGGAGAGTGGGTACAGGCACATCGACACGGCCACGGCTTACAAGAACGAACACGTCATAGGAAAAGTTTTGAACGAATGGATAACGTCCGGCAAAGTGACCAGAGACGAGTTGTTTATCGTCACCAAGGTACCTACTGCGATATGCGCATGCATACCTAAATACTTATGTATTGACGGTTCGACGTCACGTGGTGTTTGAACTCAGGCGCCATCATGGGATATATAAATTACCTAAACGCAAATGTGTTATCATTTGCAGCTGCCACCTTTCAAGAATCGGCCTGAAGACCTGGAGGGGTGTTTGAAAAAATCGCTTGAAGACTTGCAATTGGACTACGTTGACATGTACTTGGTGCACACTCCGTTCAGCGTGACAGAGGGAGAAACGCCCGCCTATAGTGGCATGAAAATTGATGTCAGCACGGACCACTTGGCGATTTGGGAGGTAATGTTAGGCCGCCGCAATAAGTCCTCGGTATTAAGCATTTGCGTGTATTGCATACATATCATGTTATAAGGAGGACTCGTGAAAATTGCCATTAATTTATAATGCGGAGTGACCTATTTAGCTTGATGTATATATTATGATAATATTATATGTTGCGTAGATGATGGAGAAACAGGTGACTTGCGGCCGAGCAAAGGCGATTGGATTGTCGAACTTCAACGTTAAACAGATACAGAGGGTGCTGGACAACTGCAAGATCAAACCCGATAACTTGCAAGTGGAAAATCATCTGTATCTCCAACAACCCGAGCTCGTGGAATTTTGCAAGAGCAATGGGATCGCTGTGACCGCATACTCGTGTTTGGGCGCGAAAGGTGGCCGGGAAGTCATGGGGTTCAGTTGGACGTAATAATTATATTTTTACCACTTTTTAATTATAATAATAACAATAAAATAATAAAATATAGTTGTGTGACATTATCGAAGGGTACGATAACGATTTTGTTAATTACCTATTATGAATGGGTGCATATTATGTTATATAGCAAAGAATTGCCGGAAATGTTGGAAAACGACGTGGTGTTGAGCATTGCGGAGAAGCACGGCAAGACTGCGGCCCAAGTATTGTTGCGGTTTATTGTCCAGAAGGGTATCGTAGTCATACCAAAAAGTACAAATCCACAGCGATTGGCATTAAATATACAGGTGAATACATTTTGAATACATTTTATTGTCATTTAGGTACTCATATTATATTAATAATTATCAATTGTCATGACGTTTCCCTTTGTTTTGAAAAATAAAATCGTCTATAATCGTCTATAATATAGATAACGATAGACTCTATACCGTTATTATATTATTTTAATAATAATAATAATAATAATAACATAACACATTATACTCACAAGTGTAATTGATTTTGTTCTTTCCGATAGATTTTCGACTTCAAATTGGACGAACAAGACATGGAGGCCTTGATTGCTCAGGACGCCGGAGAAGGAGGCCGTATGATGCGTCTTCAGTTCTTCGCTGGGTAAGTTGTATTTTATTATCATAGATTAAATTCCATAAAACCAGATGGTGCACTCCAAACTTGTCGTTATATTTGTAAACAAACTTTATGGGACATCACGTTGTTTGAAAACCTTCTTTTGTCCTGCTCCGGAGGGCTCGATATGACCTAACCTGATTTTATAAAATATTTTGAGATATTATTCGTTCGTCCACAGTTAACGCGGACATTATGTTATACATCGATCGCACGTTTTATGGCACCTTAAATATTTATTGAATTTAATAATTAATATTTAATTATTGTCATCTATACTATATATTTTTGGTTGGCTACGGTAAATCATAAGTTTATAATAATTTACGGTTGTGGCTTTATTTTTCCAGAATCACGGACCATCCAGAATATCCTTTCGAAAAGAGTGCTTGAGCTCGAATGTAATTCTACTACAAATACGACAGCCCACTATTACACGCGAATGAACCAAATTCAAACGATTTATAAAATGGCATTCGACGAATTACAATTATTTCAATATTTATTTTGAGCCTATCCACCTCATACAACTTTTGAGGTTCACGTCAATCGATTCGTATTTATAACCTACCAGTCGCCTGTTCAAACACTGCTTGAGTCCCGTCGTCTAGGCGTGTATTATACGAAATAATCGATTGTTTTAGATACATTCGTGTGCACGCGTGTATCTATAAATAATACCTGCTATGTTTAAACAAAAAACTGTATTATTATATAAAATTATTGTTAGAATAAATATATTATGTATTAAGTAGAATCGGTTGAAAATAATAATAATTATTAGTTATGAGTTATTAAAACACGTGCACTTGCATTCAATATAAAAGTCTTGATTTTTACTTACCACCCGGACGATTTGCTTGAACAAAAAAATAAGTAATACTATCAAATGGACTGTACTTACTTCTATTGTATACCTAATATATTCAAGTAGACAGTAGTGTTATACTGTCACAACGGCCCTACTTTTCCCCACCCCGCGGATGCCCTTGCTAGTTATTCGTCGAGTAATTTTCATTAAAGTAGACGATCGTTACGCACCGTAAGGTTTGTACCAGTTTAGTAATGATTTCAACAGATTATCTTTATAGTAGTTATAAATAATATAATGACGAATATTTAATTGTGTAATATTATAAGCCCGCGCCACTTAATAGACCTGTAAACTGCGTACAGAAACCAGGAAATATCTTGTCATGCTCACATCATTACAACATACAATGTGTTTTCATAATAACTTGTATATAAGTGTGCCGTTTGCGACATATTATATTTTATAGGTAACGTATATTTTTATCTATAGTCTTTAGTCATCTAAGCTTATCATATTATACCTATATAATAGGTGTGTACAACAGGAGGTAGGTATTCTGAGAATGCAGATGTATAATAATATGCTGAATAGCAAAGATTACATTTAAATTAAAAACTTTTTATAAACAAAAGAAAAAAAATTATTAATATCTGTAAACTTTTGTTAATATTTCCTATCAAAACAATATTGATAGTACCTACTACCTCAGTGGCGGCTCCAGAGATACGGTTAGGGGCGGGTGGAGGGGGCACGTCATAATTTTCAGAAAATGGTTTTTGTTTTTAACATTATAAAATTGTTTAGAAATACAGTTGGGGAGGGGCCGTGTCCCCTAGCCCGCTCCCTCCCCTGAAGCCACACTGAAAATAGGTCTACGCACACCTATGAATTATATTATAATACCTACAATACAAACCAATGTGTACTTAACACTATACGCGTTCATCATATCCTCAGAAAATCAGCTAGGACCTTGTTATATATTAATATAATAATATATTGTCCGATAACAGTCGAGTTGTACCCTTACCTCTCTCTCTCTCTCTCTCTCTCTCTCTCTCTCTCTATCTCTCTCTCTCTCTCTCTCTATATATATACATATATATAAAGGTTTTAAATCGTCGACGTTTTTAATCTGAACACAATATTATTATCACTGTTGGACTGCGTGCACAACCCTTTGGCCGGCGTCCACGGGTCGCACAGCTATGGGTACTGTGCAGGGTACTATAAAACACCGAATACCGCCACCGGCATTCGACATCGGACAGTTAAGTTCTGTACTAGATAGTTAATATGTTGTTCCTTACGACTTCGACGATTATAAACAGTCTGCGATATAAGAGCGCACGACGCATATAATTGCGATCGAAACCTTTTTTTCACGCCATTTCCCCCGCACGTTCTCTGCCATTCACACGGGCCGTTTGGTTGCTGAAAAACTATGTACCTATTTCAGTGTCACGGTTGCCCATCGATTGCCCATCGTGTTCGAAACATTGTTTCTCTGTTTACGACGTGTATTAAGCCCCCCCCCCTTTGTTGTCTCTGTCCCATGCAAACGTACCGAGCACAACGACAATATTTTACGTTCTCGATAATCCATTTTACTCGGTTATATTTTGTAAAATTATAGAGCGAATCGACACGATAGGTATAAAATTTAAGGGGTTGTATATTATTATCTCGGAGGGGTTTATTTTCGTTGTTTTAAATGTAAAGCCAGTCATGAGAATTTTAAAACTTACGAAAAATAGTATAGTTTTACGAAGCTCGCATAAATCGATTCATATAGGTAATTAAAAAAAAAAACAATAAAAGTCTCCGAGATGCCCTGGATAATAAACTTACCTTTAAATTTTAATAAAATGTGTCAGTTCACTCTAATTTTATGAATAACAGAGTAAAATGGACTATTTTCAGCGTGAAATTTGCCATGTTGTATACTTGTATACGTTTTATAAGACGGAGACAACACGTGCGTGACTAATTTTAGACTACGAGTGAAGCGATGAAACTTCATATTGGATTTACAATAATGAAATCAATTTCTGTTCGGGAGAAGAGGGAAGACTGTACCTATGTATAAAAAAAAAGTAGAACACGGATGACGGTATACCTACCCTGGCGAATTAGCTTCGTGATTTCGTGGAAAATTGCGAAAATTTACCTATAAACTGCTTATACATAATATAAAATACTAAGATATAGGTATAAGAGGTTTCTAAGTCACAAGTTACCATGGTAAAATATTATTTTAATGTTAAAACATAGGTTATGGTAATATTTTATAAATGGCAAGATTTCAAAATAACATACTTATTTTGACTAATTTATTATTCAACTATATGAAGAAGAAGATACAACTTATACATTATTACATAATGCGGAGATCCGGTCATAGTCTTAGAGTTTTAGATGGAATGTATTATATATTATGTACATAATATTATTATATAGACTTCGAGCATAATGGACCAAAACTTTTGAGAATTTCATTAACTCTCCGATGAAAGAGTATCAGTCTACGATAGGTAGGTACCTATATCTATTTTAATCTCGTCACACCAACCCTTCAAGAATAGAACCTATTCAGTTTATTGATTCATAAAAATACGAGAGTAGCTTGGGATTAAAATAACACAGCTGTATTATTAATTAAAAGTGTCCGGACATAATCTCAAGTGCAATATTATATGGTTCGGTAAGACCACGAGGACATTTAAGATAGATATAATCAATAACGTAATTGGCATATACATTTTATATGGATTTTCACCGCTCATAAATTATTTTATAAAACGTCTTAAACATTTTGAGTGTGCGGCTGATACTAAATAATGTCTTATATTATGTGAAAATTCCACCGATTTTACCGCACAACATTATAAGTAGACCAATGTATAATATATATTACATACGTATTATAATTAAATATTTACGGATATTTACCTACCTTTAAGGACAAATTATTATCGGTACAAGGATTTTGATTTCACGGATCATTAAATTATTCGATAACATGACAATACTAATAACTGTTACATTTGCAATTACTATTGTTTGCTGCGGTGAAACATAATAAATTTAAAATTGACTGCGCTAAAATTACAGAACAGTTTGACACATCAAACAGTAATATATATTTGGGTTTAAAGGTGCGGTTTCGTTTCTGTATCTATTTGCAGCAGTGACATAAACGTCATAATATTTAACCCATCATAATAATATTGTAAATATTATACATTATTGTCACCATACATAAGAAAACAGGCTTACCTTATTATTCAAGTAGGTACTGAAGTATTGATCATTATAAATTATGTCGATTGTATGAAAATAATGATAATAATATATAATATAACTGAGTTGAGATACGTGAAATTAATTTATTTTATTTTATGACAAATTATTGTCTTATCTTTATTAAGAAATATTATACTTTAGATAAGTTAATATTATAAAGTAGCAAATGCAATTTTTTACGTGAACTATACTATAGGAAAGAATTAAATTTATTATATAATATACGATTGTATATTATAATATTATATATGATAGAATATGATACTATAAAACATTTTTACCTATTATATCATAACATGTAAAAACACAATAGTAGCATACCTGTGTACTCGAGTTATACATTTTTAGTTTTTAATTAAATGTTTCAATATTGAAATTCTAATACCTAGGTTGAATGGAAAAAAAAACTACGTAACTCAGTAAACTGTATTGTAACTAGTAAGGTGCGCAAAATATAAAATGTATAAAACTCATATTATTTTTTTCATAATTAATTTTTTTATAAAACTACTAATTTAGGTATATTATATAATATAATTTGTTACCAGAAACAACTAACGATAATGTAGAAGATAGAAATATTTTTTCTGCTCCAAAACCCGAACCTGTTCACTAAAATTAAAAAAAAAAAAAAACTACACACACCATTCCTACAGCTTAGTCGCATCGAATCTGATCGATTATAAGTATTTATAACTATAATGGGTATGATATTTTCGGAAAATCAAAATCGAATGCTCACAGTACATAATATATAGGTATGAATACCTGCTTAATTATGCTAACCTAACCAATAACTATAATAATATTAATGGTTTGCGAAAATAAATTTGCGTCCATAAAATGCCACGTGTATGTGCAAAAAACATTGTGAACAGCAACTGGACACCCTGCGAATTTGACAAAACGATTTATCATTTATGCGTATAAGGTACGGCGTGAAAACTTTAAAAATTTTTTGCGAACAGTTGAAATCGGAACGTTAAAATTTAAATAAGGCCCAATACGTTTTCCACTCAAAAAACGGAAACCAAATAAATAAATAAGAGTAGACAATCGACTAAATAAATCGTAGGTCGTAACGTAGGTTGTAAATGTATACCTATCTATAATATGTTAATAAAAAAAAATTCACTCGAAAAGCTGTGTGTATGTGTGTGTATGTGTATGATGATGGTACAATAGTTACATGCCAATTTGTTTTTCTGCTACGATTGACTGGCCATGTATATTATAATGATGTACATAATAATACCATTATAATAAACATTAGATTATCGTATCTATCGACGTATTTTTCGAAACAACAACATAATATTATATTGATGAATTCTAAGTCGGGATTCGTATTTATCATAATAACATTCTGTACTTGTGTTTGATCAAAAATAAATGATATCTGAATCAATACAATATGATGATGATTGATACATAATATAATGCATATCATATTTAATGAAAAAGAAATGTGTATTGCAATATTATTATTCGTTGGAGCATTATATTGAACGAATAAATTAATAATAGAAATAGGGTAGGTTACATACATAATACTATATGTATTGATTTGAAAATCCGCAAATCATATTGTTATATATTTTGAAATTGGTTTCAAATTAAATTGTTTCAATATTGGTATCCATTCAGAAAACGGAAGGTAATTTGTTTTTGAAAATTGTGTTCTGAAATAAGAGTACCTACTTATATTTTTAAAGTGGTCTGTATACAATGTATATATGCATCATACTTGCACACAGTTGCACCGCTGAATAAAATAACACGAATTATTATAATATTAATTATTATTATTACAAGTCGTTTGGTTACTTATATAATGGCAATATAAAATATATAAGTACAGTATTTCAGTGAATTAAAGCTATGGTTGGGAATTCAATATACTTATCTATCAGTTAAGTATAGTGGAAAAGTGTATTTACTATCTATATGTAGAGTACGTATACTATATACCTACCTAAGTAAGTGGGAATGATAATTCACTTTAAAATCAGTTTATTATATTACCATTTTTGATGTGGTCTATAAAAATAAGTATGTCAAACTAATGTAAAATAAACATTTAATCAAAATTATCAAAACATTTAAAATCATTTTCATAAAAAAAAAATAGGTACTTTATCACTTTAAGTGTTAGTATTTTTAATGCATTAGTATTAATCAAGGGATAAACTATCGGATCTCTACATTTATATCTGTACAATTAATATTAAATAATAAATATTATTATATTGTAATATTATTATAGTCTCATATTTATTTCTTTACCAATCTGCGTCCTTAAATTACATAACAATTAAATACGGCATAAATTATTGGTCTGTTGTATAATTTTCGTTCATCAATTTTGACATTTGATCTGCTCACACAAACGCGTGATTAAAAATCGATACGGCTTTTATAATTCTATTATACTAATACATCTAGGTTAGGTACTCATTAACACTTACAATAATTAATTATGATAGTTTAAAATTAAATTAAATTGGTCCCAAATAAAATTAAACCGTTTGCGGCGCTATCTACACCGGCAGGCTACTAGTTTTCCGCGCTAGCTGGTAGGTATGTACAAGACTAAATCATAAGTACCTACCAGATAAGATGAAATAATAAAACAATAATTATGATATCATTAAAAAAAAAATGGTTTAGTCTTTATGAATTCAATGATATGTGATAACACGTCACCGTCGTCGTATAATGTGTGAACAATAACAACAATAAATAAAACGATAATATTTGATAACATTTTAACACCGTAACAATAAGTAGACACGTAACAGTTTTGTCTAGAAGTGAGACGATTGTCGACATAGCGCACTGGTGAATCATTATAGTTTTACCACCGACGATTGTTTTCCACATTCTAAGTATAAAGAAAAATTAATTCTCCGACTTCGTGTGAATTTCCCAATTGATGATCATGCTGGTCGGTGGTTTGAACCACGTGTTCCGGCGGTCGGCGAGAGGCTGCAGAAGAACTGTCTCAGTGGTCGGTAAGTAGACATATAGACATAATATATAGGTAGTTGTGTATATAGAGGGGATGGTTAGGGGTTCGACACCCCCCCTCCCGAAATCAAATCCTATATACACCACTGTACGTAGATTACTTTTATTGAGGCTAGCCGTTGACGTGTTGTAGTTGGGTTTAAATTTAAATTGTCGACATGAATGGTTACTTTTGTTTTCTATATTTCTAAGCACACCTACTAAAGCCTAATAAATAAATATTATAATTTTTAGTTGACTTTTAAATCGAATTTAATTATTAAAATCATAATTTCTGATTGTTTAAACTACCTACTTAGTAGGTAATTAAAATAATTAAATAAATAACTATTGAAGTTGTCTACGTGTTATTATTATTTTTTTTTAATTGACTGAAAAACTTATTCAACTTGTCCTTAGCTTCGATTAGTACCCAGGTATTTGTTTAACATATATTATAAGGTATGCATTATAAGCCAATGTTATTTTATCATTAATTTGTAACAATATCACTACCTATACTATAATAGTACCTACGACATACCAATTTATTAGTAATACTCTGTAACACCGAGTGTCTAAGGTCCACGCCTCCACTGCTCATGTAAATAATAACAAAATTGTTCGTGTCCCGTAAATCATAATATTGTATACCTACATTATAATAATTTGTAAAAAATAAATCCTGAGTCGTGTGCTTCACGAAACGAGCTGTTACATCCGATACCCATTTATAATTTATATAGTATTTATATTATTAATATATCTTTACTCAATATACATATTACATGGTCCTTTGTAGAATTCATCGGCACCCATCACGAATAAGTCAAATAACCATATTGTAAAGTGGAAAATGTTTAAAATACAAATTTTATACACCAACCCCGTCAACCCTTATTGTACGACGATTCACTACGTCTTACTTCTCTTACAATGTGGTATTATTGATGTGACAATATTAATGATCCCAAGATCCCAACGTCCAGAAATACCCAAAAGAGGCATATGCCTTTTTAAAATTGGACACGAGATAACAATATTTTTCGTGCATTAAATTAGGAATAAATATTAAAGATTTGCTCCTCTCACTAGTAAAATGTCTGCTGGTCACTAAGCAAACGTCTTACTTAATATTACATTATTACGACACTTACATTATACAGCCTATTTCTAACATTATCTTAAATTGTAAATCTCGAATTACCATAAATATAAAATATATATACCTATGAAGATATTATGTCACTGTGATTGCAGCGCATAGATAGGACGACATGCTCTGCATACAGGGTACTTCTTTTATAGCGTTTGCTGGTTACAATTATCTTGAAAATATGTTTTTACAGAATGTACAAATTGACATTTTAGATTCTGAGTGGAACAATGAATGTATTGATTTTACAATGATGTGTGTTTTTTTTTTTATTTTTGTGTCTGTCATCACGTTTTAGGACAGTAAAAGTGCTTGGATTTTCTTCAACAGTATCTTTTCTGATAGGAAAGTGAATCTAGTTGGTACTTTGAGGGGGGTCAAAAGTAAAAATTTTAAATAAAAGGAAATGAGTATATCCAGAGTTCTAACCAATATGTTGCAAACGAGTAACGACAGGCTGCATGTCAACCGTTATTATTTATTTATTTCAGCCAAATCAATCACAATTACTTAATTACAATAAATTACATTAAATATTAATAACAATTAATACGTATCGGTATACAATCTGAGCCATAAGCTATAATAATGCTACGATGAAAACATTTTAATGAACCACGGCCTTCCAAAACGAATACCAAAACCCCCCCAAAGTTATTCTCGATTTCTAGCCCATGAACAACGATTTCCAATCTCAAGGCCGGCTGGTCTCGTCGGTCACGGACCACGACTGCGACCGTGGCCGTAACCACGCACGATCGCAATTACGACATAAAAACGAGTTTCCACGTTAAGATCAAAGACGTGTGTGCTACACACTTATAAAATCGAGTCTATTGCTGTAGCAATAGCATAATATCGTCATAATATATCGTGCACGAGCAATGACTATACGGATCGGCGCAGCTAGACATGAAAAGTGAAACCGGGTTTGAGGGGTGCTAAATTTATTTAACTATTAGAGATCTGTATTTTAAAGTGTAGGTATGGTAAACATTTGAAATATATTATGAAAATGGATGCTTAAATAAAAATATAGGTTTTATAACACCCACATGCACCCATTCTAATCTAGTTCACATGACGTGTTAATGCCTATTGAAACATTTAAACGTATAGTAACTATAGACCAGTCCCTAAATTGTGTGTACTACGACACACTTTGTGTAGTACCAAATTTAAATGTGTGTTATTCTAATTAAACCTTTATAATAATATTATGTATAATTTTTATATCTTCACATTTTTTTATATTTTAATCGTTTTTTTGCCAAACCACATTTTAATTATTATCTATATTCTACACAGACACACAGTAAACAATATTCTGTGTTGTTATACTCTTATTATAGTTATTATTATAAACTATTCTTTGTTATTGAGAGTAGCTATTTTTATTATCATCAGCTTAGTAGTGAACGGTGGTATATACTAGGTATATAGTATACTAGTGTTTTAAGTGTTTATATAGAAATAATAATTTAGATTTGACCCATTTGGGAGTTTGGAACTTTGTGTGTAGTACGAAAATTTGGATATTTTAGGGACTGCTATAGCCTATTATAGGTCCTTAAGATACGCATATTTAATTACTATAATATGTATAATGTATAGGTTATAATCAATACCTATATCAGTAATATAATACTATAATAATACTACAATCAGATGTCTTTTAACCATAAATGCATTTGTATTTATTTATATATTATTATAATGTTATATATATAAATATACATATAGGTACTATATACCTATATCAAATCAATCGTTAATTAAATTCCATTCGTTTAATCCTTGATTAATTTTTTTTTAACAGTCCACATGGGTCACACATAGTGATTGTGCTACTTTTAATTTTTTTTAAATAATAATTAATCACTGAAATGTTGTTTAAAATTCATCATACTAGCCTTTTTATTGCACTCTATAACTGTAGAGGTTTAGACAATTATTCGCTTGTGTCAACTAAATTATTAAATTAATGAATATTTATCATTTTATTTTTATTTAAAATTATTATATACATCCTGATTAAACAAAAAAAAAATTGATTGATTAGTTTTAAGCAAAGTTATGGATAGGTAATTGATATGCATAAACATGATATAGGTACCTAACGTATTATTTTTCAAATAAATAAGAAAATGCAAAATAATTTTTTGTCCATTGTAATAATAACAATTATTACAATGGGCATCATATAAATAGTTTAGTTTTAGAAATACCCATGAGACTGCCGAGTGTATTAGATGCATAAGTACCTACCTAATATTATAACCTTTGACCTTATTTTGTGTGATGTATGTATAACAACCTGTAAAACGTCAAATGAAAAGCAACTTTTTACAATATCTATATAAAATCCTATATTATAACAATTTAATATCATTATTGTTACGAGCATAATAATATAATATATAATATAGATATTAATATACTATCCGGATGTAACAGAAATAACTGACAAATATAATTAAATTACAATATATAATATTATAATAACTTTTGTGCTTATTAATATAATTATTTTTTTTATTGTTTAGAATAAAATGTTTATTCATAGATTGTTAATTACATATTCTGTCGTTTATTTCTATTATACCCTCTACACACATTATATGAGTTATCGATTAATTATTTTTATGGAAGTTATACCCTCTTGTTTGCTACAATTATAAATTGGCCCATGTACCTATACGTATATCCAGCGGTTGAGGCGAAATTATGTAATTATGTACTAAAATCTAGCAAACGTGTAATACTAGAATAAGTGAAGCACGTTGCCTGTGGGACGTGGATTGTTCGATATAATTAGAGGAACAGTGGGAAAGTTAAAAAAACACATACGTGGTCGGATAATCGACATTTGTCGGAAGAGGTAGTAATTACAAATGATCTATTATTATTTTATAGAATAATTTCATAGAATATTTCACGCATTTACTAAAAATTAACAAATTGTTGCCATTTCACAATTAACCTGCAGTAGCTGCAATAAAAAAATTACATTTTAAGAAACGTGACATTTATTATAAGATAATATAGCGACTAATAGCTTTTATTCAATTTTCAATATCCATTATTGATAGATGCGAAGGCGTATGACAACACCTATTCAATAAGATTCTTTCACATTTTCTTACATCTTGGAGTTCAGTTTTTTTATTAATAACAACTTCTTGGAACCACCGAACAAAAGATGTTATCCAGTCAGTCGAATAACAGTTATTCGACTGTAGTTACTACTGATATTTGTAGGATATACCAGGAAGATCCTCGTATTGCGCTGCAGTAAGTCTCAAATTCCTACGAAGTTCCTATGCAGTAGTTTAACAGAACTGTTGTAGGTTTATAGATGATAATATTCAAATAAAACATAGCGTAGATTTGTATACGTTTCATATTCTGCTCATTCAAACGTACCTGAAAGTCATTTAAATGCAATACACCATTAAAAACTCAACATTACAATCATTCTGTAGCTCGCTGTACATTTAAAATAAATTAAAAATATAATATTTTGTATAATATGACGTGTAGAATTTAATGACCTGTAGCCAGCTGACCGACAGTGCCCTCCGTACCTACTAACTACTAATGGTCTCGCGTAAACGTAATCATTTAGTTTTTAACATTGAAAAATATGTATCGATAAACATACGTCGTATTACGTTATATGTACCCAACATCACATATTTATTATATTTTATACGAATAACATAACGACTATCAAATATAATTTTTAATACAACCGAGTTTTACAACATTCGACGTACAACCGAGTTGTAAGTATATTATACATAATATCCTATAATATGTAAAAGTACCTACCTATATAATATTATAATATATAAACATTATTCCCGCAGACAAATTATTAAAGCAAATAGATTTTTTTTTTTTTTTGCAGACTTCTAAAGCAGGTTACCTGTCAAAAATAAATTATTACTATAACGCGATAACAATATAAAGAACAACAGTGTAGCATAACTGGGGAACATAATAATATGACCGTAAAAGAGGTGTAAAATATTACACACGCACTCACACCCTCCTACTACCGCCGACAAAACTACCACCCGGCACGTAGTCAAATACACACCACCCGTACGATTATGTTTCAGGGAAGTTTATTTATTCAGTAGTTTTATAAAAATAAAATAAACCAACTAGTCAAAAAATAAGCGCACGTACAAAGGTTTTATAAATATTAAATACACCACCAATTCGACCCGCTTTACGGGATACGAAGATATAAGTCCGTTAAGTATGCAAACCGACTTTGTCCGATTTACTCGAAAAATGTATTAATATTTGGCAAATAACTTTAAAATGGTGTTTAGAATTTGCAAATCAATGTATTATATTTCTTATGGCAGTTTTTACAAGTATTTTTTTTTCCAGGATTGGTTTTGAGCTAATACATTTTAATGATTTATCTGAAAGTTCTAAAAACCTATTTGCAATTATATTCGTATCCAATGTGGAAAATATTGACACAATTTTAAAATCGATCGATCAAAGCTAATTTCATGGACATGCCGTTCCTGCCATTCCTACCCATAGGATCATATTATAAGTACGCAATCGCAATGATTTCACACCAGCCAAATAAGAATTCGATTTCGACGACATAACATAATAATATTGTAATCATATAATATAAAAACGTATCATCAATGTTGAGTTGAAATGTCAATAATTGAATGTATAAATAAAAACGATAAGTTAGGAAGACAGCTGGGTGTTTCGTGTCTCGTAGCCTTTTCAGAGCATTTATTCAATCTATGAATTGGGATAACATCATGTCATCACAATATAATTATGATTTATTTTAAGTCCAAAGTGTCTGATTGAAACTTTTAAATTGTAAAGTTTCTTTTACTATAAATTATAATGTAATTATAGTTAATTAGGTATTTATGGTATAACATAATTTAATATGATACTCGTGACTTTTGGAGAAAAAGACAAGTCTCTCGACTCTCGAGTGGCGCAATTTGAATTTTAGTAACCCTGTAATAATTACTCTACAAAGAACGTCCCAAAATTATTGAGACTACGCACGCCAACGGATTATGCTAATAAATATTTAACATTGATTTTGTTTAACACGAGGTGTGTATGTGTGTGTTTAGAAGAGAGCAAACGGTGGAAATCAAATGTCGGATTCGTCGGCCTGGGAAACATGGGATTTCCGATGGCGAAAAACTTATTGAAAAACGTAAATACCTTAATTATTATTATTATTAACTATTGATTTTAGCATTTTATAATATTTTAATATCGAAAATGGTACCCAGTAATAAAAATACTATACGTTCCGTGTACCCAATGCAGCTTACTACACTGAGTAATATATTTTTTAGTATAATACCAGATTATCCATTATATTATCCGACCGTCACGTATTATACTTATATAATATAATATAATGTATGTACTCATTTCGTGATGACCCGACAGAGTGTAATTCTCCACACTGCACCAGTCTATAGGCACTCGGATTTAGTTATTTGTTTTTTTTTTCCACAGAACTCTGTCATTACACTCCAACGTAATAATTAGAGTTGGTAAAAGTGCATATTTTCCCTAAAAACACGTAAAATGTGCACTTTAAAACGAACAAAAACTTCAAATACACAACCTGAAAAGTATTCAGTTAAAAAAAAATCATGTTTACACACAATAATAAAAATATGTGATATCAATGTATTTTATCGACTTATCCACGAGATGTTAAACAGGTAACAACAATAATAAAAGCTGTTAGTCACAATGTTTAAAAAAACGTCACTGAATATTATGCACGATTTTTCACCATTATAGATACATAGCAAATCTTGATCCTAATTCCCGTCGCGATGACCAAAAACTTAATGAAAAATAATTAAGATAGGTACATGAAATAAAAAAAAACTCACAAATTTTTTATATTAAAAATAATTCTCACGTTTTCAGTATAAACAAACATTGAATATTTATAGTCAACTAGTCAAGTAGAAACTAAAAAATATAGGTACATATAAATTGAATCCAAGTATAGTATTATAATCTAGCCGGATACCTATATGTTATATTTATACAGCATAAATAATTATGGGTTTTTTTGATTATTCAAACTCTGTTGAACTGAAAATGTATGTTATTTTTTTGTTTTTCTTATTTATTTGATCATCTATACCAACAACATTTGAAAGACCTAGTTGAAATGACACGATTAACCCCGAATATTTCATACAAGTATATAGAACGCCTCGCCAGTCACCTCTTTGCCACTTGGTTAATGGAAAACAACATGAGAACATGGTGCAATACATTTTCGATTTTCACCTATATATAGTTAATGCAATAAAATCATATTTCAAGTCATATAAGAAAAATTTCGAAAATATTATCATGCTTCTTAATTTCTAGCTTTTCTCAAAAACTAACATTTTAAAAATAACATAATATTATGTTGACTAAAACTCGTAGCCCATATAGGAACTTAGTTGCTCCAGGAATATTTTGCAATTTAACTTCTGCAGTACATTGTGCTCAAGATAAAAGGAAACACTCAATATAAAAATCTAAACCAATTTAAATTCAGTTTACCACACTGTTTTATTTGCATACGAAACATAATTATAACTAAGATCATAATTCATAACAGTATACACGTTTTAAAGTAGTTTTTATTATAATTAAAAGCATTTTATTAATTTTTCTTTGCGTAACTTCAATATTTATCTTTAATATTCCGAACACAAAATGTTTTCGGTGACCTAAAAGGACTAAATGGTACGAAAACAACAGTAAAACTTTAATAGATTTATATGGTAGGTATAACTATAAAAACTATATTTCTAACAGAATATAACTATATCTGCTATCCATGGCTACATTGGAAGCTACTAGTATATAATATTATAAGTATAAGAAGAAGACACAGTAAAAACGTGGTTTACAAAAACGCGTCTACAATAATAGTAGAATATAATATAATATTATATTGTTATACCATGTTTCAGTTTTGACATATTTAATGAACATAAATGAAATTGGTTTAATGAGCATGTATTAGAATCACGGATACGATACACGAATACACGATATAAAAATGTCTTATTCGTATGACAAAAAAAAGTAGAAGTAATACATTATAATATACATATACATTATACATGTATATATTGGTTTTACGATGTTTTTTTCCATATTTTCATTATAATCTTTTTAAACTTTATTTCCAAAAAAAAATTGATCTAAGGTATGCCTGATACATTATAATATACCGTTAATAACTAGCATATCTCTATATTTTGGTATCGACCTATCCAGTTTCATATCAAAAAACTTTACTATACCTTAACAGGTAATAACATTTTACATTACATACATATTATTCAACTATTGGTAACGTGGACTGTTGGACTCATATTTTTTCCAATAAAATATAAAACGTTTAATTCTTTGTTCGATGTATACCTATATATTTTAGTGTTAAATAAAATACGTACTTCAGATATAAATTTATATAATACTCAGTGCGTCCCTATAAGTCCCTTATATACCGACATAGTACATAGGAGAATCACAAATTATACATAATCTTGGATTTAACAACAGGCTGGCTATAGGGGTTTTAAATTAGATTCGTCATTTAAATTACTATATTGTACTTTAGTCCTATCTATATTAGAATATGGCGTGGTTGTTTGGAGTCCTGCTACAATGACTCCCTCCAACTTGAAACAGTTCAGCGCCGGTTCCTTCGTCCTGCTGGTTACTGCTAAATCAGGTCTTGTCTCTCTAGCTGAACGCAGGCGAATGCTTTGAGTAAAGTTACTTAAGAGACTGTTGTTTGCAGGTCAAGTCGATTCATCAGATTATTGTCCTTACTTAAATTCAAGGTACCTCTTCGTAAAAACCGTTCTAATGTTCCTTTCCATGTCCCTATATGTTCAAATAATTATTTGAAAAATTAGCCTTTATAGGCGTTTAATGTCAATAGCCAATAAGGATCCCTCTATCGATGTTTAATTTTACCATTTGTTAATTTTATTAATATTAATCTGTTTTAATGACTTAATATACCTTATTTATCATAGTGGTTAATTTACTTTAATATTCTGTTATGAGTGTTATTGTAATCATGTAATATGTAAAAATTTTCAAAAGGGTTTTCCAACGCGTTCAAGGTATTATAAAATAAAAATAAAATAATATAGGAAAATAAAGGGAATGTATATTTATATATTATATATATTATGATGATATGCAGATATAAAATTCATGATGTTCGAGATCGATTACAATTGTTTTAACTATTTAACACGTACGAAAAGCCTTCGTAGATATAGTCATATAGAATAAGTAAATGAAGTCACGGACAATTTGCAATTATAATTCGACGGGTAACGGAACTACGGAACACAAGGGCCGCGGGATAAATGTTTAATATTTTAAGCGCGAACAGTACAATAATTTTAATGGAATTATATTCACTGTATGTCTGTATAAAAGAATGGTGACGTGGAAAACGACTGAAATCAACGACGGCAGGGCGATTTTCTGCAGACCGAAAAGTTCCAAACAAAATAAAAAAAGCAAAAATAGCTTAATAAATAATTGACTGTTGACGACAGCCCTGCAGACCGTTTGTATCAATTATATAACTACGTATACTGCACTGAGTCACCACTCTGTAATCCACCTATATATAGGAAAGCTTGAAGAGGCAATAACAGGTGGCCTCATTAGCCCTCCAACCCACACAAATATTTGTTGTCAAAATAATATTATAATTTAAAATTATCTACGTCAAAATTGAATATTCTACTATTGACGTAATATAAAATACATCCAAATTACTTACATTTAAATACAGAATAATGAATTACAACGTGGGTCACATGGGGTGAGGGAAGTCGTGGATTGCGCAGATGTTGCACTGATTATACTTTTGTTACACGGTAATATATAAACTTACGAGCGCATCGGATGATCCCTTAATGTTTCGTTCCACCAATACTATCAAAAGTAGAAGGGATTACAATATTACACTGCATATAAGAAAAATTACCATATACATATATAAGGGTCAAGGACCAAGGACCAAATGAAACCCACACAACAGTTTCAGTGTCTCTTAGAAAAAGTCTCAACACTCATCGACCATCGTCCACGCAACGATTTATTTATCTCTGTTTATGGTTCAAACGAGAACTTGTCACTCTGTACTTAAGACATAAAAATATTATTAGCGTAGTAAAATCTGACTTATCTAAGTATCGTATAACTTATCAATTATTATAAGTAGGTACCAATAGTTATCATATAATATTATTATTTAGATTATAAGTGTAGTTATTACATAGTATTGTTATTTAGATTAGGTATAAGTAATTATTTGAAATAATCATTAGCAGAACAATATTATAATTTATAATTTACATTAATTTACGATTCAACCATACTAATATACTATTGAGTGTTATAATAACTTGAATTACATTCTAGTGACAATTGCTATCTGAAAATGATCTACGGTAAATATGAATGTATAAAAACATTTGAAATCTAAAATAATTTATAGTTTAATTCCTCAGTACTATTTAAAATATATCGTATACAACTATAAGCCATCTCGCACATAAACGATGTTCGAATTATCCGTAGATTCCATTAAAATATCTAACAGAGAAGTGTCTCTCGATACCCCGTTAGTTCGTCAAGCGAATAAATAAATTAAATCACGCGATATATACGCATATACATTTCACCGTGATATCGAGTATCGAACACTACCCCATAAAGACATCTCTTCGTGGTACCACCACCACCATCACATAGAAACAGCACTTACCTACAACAGTACTACGAATAATTTAAGGGATTTAATATACATATTAATAGATTGATCATTCATATTTCATACAACGTAAACACTAAATAACACATACATATTAAACATAGAATATTATAATACAGTAGTGGATTTATCTTACTCGCATTTTATAGTTTATACTTTATAGAATGATAAAATAAAACCGTACTAAACAACTTTAAATGACAACAGGACTGGTAAACACATATTATAGTTCAAACCCATAATCCTTCATTTCATATTAAGTATATTACAGGTATACATATTATACTAATTTACTACACCATAAAACACGCGTATAACGTAGTAGCAAGGATCTTTGAGCCATTTTTCTTCTAGACAATTCAAAACAATTGCTTGCGAGTCGCATCCGACGAGCCATTGAGTTCCCTGCCCACACCGTGTCTTACGTATTTTCCCCCTATATTTCTTGCATATTATCATCTCAGTATCTCGTAAACTCTTTACTTTAATTTTGTATTTTTATTCTACTACCTTGAAAATCCTAAAAAAGTATAAAATCACTTTACCTACAGTAAAAAAAAAAACAGTTAAAACATGCAGCGTAAAATACAGTGTAAATCATCTACACATCAGAATAAAATAATTCAACATTTTCAAAACCAAATTACCCAATCGAATAGTTAACTGTAACAAGTTAAATCACCATCTGCATGTATAGAGTATATTATAACAATATCACGAGGTAATAATAAAATAGCTGATTTGCGGATAAAATTGCAAGTTAATAAGTTTTGAAGTTTGAACCGAAAAGTATTTTTTATTAAATTTAAAAAAATATGTTGCCGAACTGTACAGTTCCAAGCCTTTTAATCTGAAAAAAAAAGAATTATTCTCATTCGTTTTTCATCGCTACTCGTAACCTCAATTTTTACGTCATACAGATCCGTATGAAAATCCGTTATGAAATTCGCAATTAAGTAACAACCTTATTAGCATGTTATAAAGTTACTTTTTTAAGTTAAATTTTAAATTTTAATTTAAAAAACCTTAGTTTTAATCAATATGCACTATAGTATTAGTGTTAAATTCTCTAAAAACACTAAAATGCTCTAAAAAATAAAAAATATAAACTTCTTATTCTGATTCAAAAACAAATGAGACCTTATAAGACGAGATCATCGTGTATAGCTAGCTTTGGAAAACAATGAGCAAATACAGCAAAGTGCATCGTAATCTCAGCCATATACGTTTTTTCACTATGGTAAGATGAGAATGCACTCAGGTACCTATATTATGTTCCTGCAGGGAAACTGCGCGGATAATTTCATCGAATGTCAAATTGAGGTCCCTGCGTTAACGGTACAGAGGTAAACAAGATACTTTGCGGTGTATCATATTATATATTTTATCTATATAATAATACAACAATAAAAACTTTTTGAATAATTCTATAATAATATTATATTTCTTGAACGTCTTTACAGGGTTATGGGGTGGTAGGCAACGACGTGTCTGCCGAGCGGATGGATTTGTTGCGGGGCTTGGATGGAGCTGAGACCGCTGACACACTGCAGCAAGTGGCCGCATCCTCGGATGCCGTGATCACCATGTTGCCTGGGACCCAGCAAGTGCTTTCGGCGTACTCGGCATTGCTCGAGTGAGGATTGACTTTGATATAATATACACTATACTCGGGCCTCAGGATGAGTTTAATAGTGCCCTCAGACACAAAAAAACGAATATCTTGTAAATAAATATATTCATCGCTCCCCTCAGAATCTAATAAAAATTAAAGTTTAATTTTTATATTAATAGGTAGGTATACTGTAAATAATAAAATTACTTTTTATAAAACATTTATTTTCCACAATAAAACAGTGAAAAAAATCCTTAAAGTTACAATAATTATTATACTCTAAAAAAAAACAAAAATTGTATTAAATAAACCACAAGAAATCAGCTTTCAATCTACCTATACTCTATTTCAAATAAGATCGGAAGTCGGCGGCGACCAGTTTTCGTCGGGCGGCGGTCAGACATATATGGCCAGATGCCGTCCCCACTACGGCGACGCGTCAGGCGCTGTCACGGAACAAAGCCACATGCGCACAACTCGGCCGCTCTTATTTGGAATAGAGTATAATATAGTTTAATTAATATATTCTTTGAAGTAGGTATCAAATTGTGTGTTTATAGAAACATTTTTAGAGCAATCAGTTAAAACTGAAATTACATTAAAATCCACGCAGTATGATACATTAGTACCTACATTACTATTAACCAAGTACCTACCAATTATATAGCCGATGTAAATATCATAAAGTAATTTAAAGTGATATTATTAATAATCAGTATTAAGTATATTACGACGTGTGAAAGGCGTACAGAAGATATAATTTGCATTGCGTCGTAAGTCAAAAAGTTATACTTACGAATTTGGAATAAAAATTGTTTTATTAAAATATTACACATAATAAATGATTTTTCTACATTACTGTTGACAAGTTTACCACCAAACAAGTTTCTAAGCTTTCCTTGGAAAAAAAAGAATAAATGTGGCCCAATAATACTTACATTTTGATTGTACATCATAACTATATAGCTATATACAGTACCTCGTTGAAGACCAAAGTAACTTAAATAAGTTTAATAAGAGGGATGCCAGTGTCACGGGATATGTATACCTCTAAATGGTTTAGACACATTATAAATGGGTTAGAAACATAAAAACACTGTTTAATTTGTAAAAAAATTAAAACTTTTTTATAATAATATAATTTAAGAAAGTCAATCTATGCTATAATATTCACTAGGTACACCGTACACCAAATAAATGAAAAAAAATTTAAATCAAATAAATTTAAGAAGATTGCATTTGAACAATTTGATATTTTTTTTTATAATTTGCATTTTTATTAGATAAATAATTACAATCTGTAAAATTAGTAATATATTATGGTACAATAAGTAAGACACATTAACAGTTAATAATAAAAAGGGGTGAAAATGCAAAATACATACAGAGGTTAACTTAAGAGTTTACAAAAAAATATTATAAGCCCTGCACCTATATATAATGATGTGTAAAAATCTATAGGTATCTACTCGTTTTTTTGTATATTGACAAAACAAATTGTACTATTACAATTAATATTTCGTTTTTTAAGTTATTTTTATTTATATATTAGGTCCTCAAAACCGGAACAGTTATTTGTGGACTGTAGTACGATCAGTCCAGAGAGTTCTAAAAAAATTTCAGACATGGCCGAGCAGAAGGGTTGTAAATTTCTAGGAGCTCCCGTGTCAGGAGGTATTTATATTTATCATTATTATTATTACAATTATGAATACGAAAAGCTGGGGTGTATTATAATTTATAGTTCAAGCCCGTTTACAAAAATGTGTATATCATATAGTTGTTCCATGTTCTTATGGCAAAATATTGATCCTCCGCCAATAACCAAGCATCACTATTTACGCCACTGATGGGCTACGAACGTATTATTAAGTTCTCACTTTTAAATGTTGATACATATCAATAGCCAATAGGTTTTCTAAAATTATAGTAAAAATTAAATAGAGAAGTATTTGTGCAAGTATTTTAACATAAAACCCTGCACAGCGACGGAAATAGGGGAGGATGTTTTTGAGTGACCGTCAGGGATTGCACTTAGGTACCTAAAGATAAAGTAAGCAATGTTTGGCAACGATACTTAATAATACATTGCTATCACCGTCGATCGTAATTTTTGCGCAGGAGTGGTGGGTGCAGAGAGCGGCACTCTGACTTTCATGGTGGGCGGAGAAGAGAGCACGCTGAAGGCGGCCGAACACCTACTCGGCTTTATGGGGTCTCGGTGGGTGTACTGCGGACCGGCAGGTTCGGGGCTGGTCACCAAGATATGCAACAACATGATACTCGGCATGACCATGGCGGCGGTGGCCGAGGCGATGAACCTGGGCATTAAGTACGTCACTATCGTTTTCATACATGATTTATTTTTAGATTATTAATATTATAACAAGACTGATAGTCCGGTATACTCTGGTATATACGCGTACCGGGTATATACCTGCATGGCGCAGTACTTAAATATCTACATAATATTATATCCTTGCTTACCACATGGCACAATGGCATGTCCAGAGGCGCAAAAACCATTGATGATCAATAGCAGGGGTCGGCTGGTCGGCAACCCGCCGCCCGCGAAGCAATTTTTTATGGCCCGCACAAAGGTGGTTAATTTTTGTGTTTTATTTTTGTTCAATTCTTTTTTCTTTATAAATAAAATCTAATCGAATCGTTAATAGTTGATGTTTATTCTATATAGCTATATAGTCAGTTTAATCTATAAAATTGTTATTATTAGATATCTAATCGGAGTCGAAGATAATGATGGCTGTACTACTCAGTCATACTTACTTTGCGTTTGTAGCGATTAGTATTACACCGTAGAATTACATCGAAAATTTAACTAATAAACTGCAGGCACAAAAATCTCTTTAATTACAAATTTACAAATTTTTATTCAATAAAATGTTTTCTTACAAACAATTTTTTCCAGTGACATTCGTATTTTATTACACTCGTATTTCTATGTAAAATAATCAAATATAATAGAAATACAATTATTATTAGTATTATATCATAATACGTTCATTTTTTTAATGTGGCCCTTGATGAACATTTGAAAAAAAAATATGGACCGTGTGGTTCAAAAGGTTGAAACCCCTGATCAATAGTATTCTAGTTCGTACAGGGGGTTATAATTAATATTTATCTAGGTCAATAGGTAATAGTGTAATATATTTACTGTAAATAAGGATCGGGGTGGATGATAAATGTATGGCTTTGTATTTTGTTGTAATATGTGTTTTAGATCATTTCACTATTTCTCGACGAGTATTATAATATAGAGAGGCACCATTTATATAATATTATTATACCCTCTCGTAAAAGCGATTATGGACGGAATTACTATTATAGGTATTAGGTACCTATAATAATTAATAGATTATTACATAATACAGCGAACTGTATAGTAGCGTTATGCGTAGGTATATTATGCAAGCGTTTATGTGGGATATACCTGTAATGGCGCAAAATGTGAAAATATAATTTTATTTACTAAATTATTATTGTTAGGTAGGTATGTATACTAATAAGTAATTTTATACTTATTGTAGCGACCGAATAAAACAACACTGATGCATGATGTATCGACGAGTCACGAGTGAATATAGTTTAGAAATGAAAATGTATTTTCACACAAGGCTTATTGAAATTCAATTCGATAGGTATCTTATTGATATATATTATTATATTATTTACATACTGAGGCGGTGTTCATACAAATCTAGATATAAATCGGTATATACCTATTTGGCATACGTATTCACTTAAGTTCATATTGACATCATAATATTATATTCGAAAGATGAATACTTTTATTGCATACAGTGATTTTTTTTTTATATTATTATTACTGATCCAGACAATAACGTTTTATTCAAGAATTATTTCATGTTCTAGTTGAAATTTACATACAAGTTACATTTAAAGGTCTATGCCCTTATAGTAGGTATAGGAAATAGGAGTAAGTAGGATATACCTGCTGTATTATAATATTACATCATACAATTTTTCATATTTCACGAACATAGGTCTCAGTGTCTGAACGAGATAATGATGGGTAGGTATAATATATTGACCTTTTTACGATGAAAAAAATCACTCCATATTGAACTAACTATTTTTTAAGTGTATACTGTATAGGTATAGTTAGTTATTTATAAGGACAGTGTAGCACTTAAAGTCAGTGGCATATTTTCAATTTTTTTGTAGGGGTGAGTTTAAAAAGTAAGTAAGTGTATAATATTATAAAAATACATACGAGTATAGAGTTCGGGACTAATTGTTGCACAAAAATGATAGAAATATGCAATCTGAAATATATGCGGCTAATATTTTTATAATAATACTTTTGAAAAATGCATAAAACATATTACAATTTTGGAAATAAAAAACTCAAAAATAAGTAGATACATAAACAGTAATAAAAATAATTTATACACGGGCTTACTAATTCGAATATAATTTATTCATATGGACATTATTGCATGTTTTAGGAATTTTTAAACAATCGTGAAATGAAACATCTTAATTTTTAAAAATACTGGAACATCTATACTGGGTTAAGGAATAAGTAATAACGAATAACGTGATATGCCAACACCGTGATAAACGAACAAGTAGATAGCTACTGATTTTCATTTCTTCGTACAATCTAGAACCTTGATATCGATTAGGTATTACCAAAGTGTTGTCACAAAGAGACTCATAAAATCTGAAGTACCTACCTACCTACCTACCATACCCGCAAAGAGGGTAATTTGGGGGCCAAGCATCCTCCTTATTCAATATTATAATAGTAGAGCTTCAGACTACAGCTTACCCAAATTTCAAATGCTATTTGCGCCTATGCTACCTACCCAAACATAATTTATTTTAAGAAATATTCTTGAATGTTATCCAAATATGAATTTCCCAAAAATTTTACCTACACAAAAAAATTTAAAATATGCACAAAGATGGTAAAAATTGCTCAAATATGAACTTTTCCTATAATATGAGAATTCAAACTTTGTATTTAATTTTATTATTTCATAAAACAAATTTATAACTTATTTAGAATAATCTACGATCACTAAAAACAAATATGTAAATTGAAGAATTCCCAAACTTTACATAATATGAGTTATGTAAGTTATGAATTAATAATTATATTATCCCACTGTGGGGGGGGGGGTGAGGTGTATAGTGATAGATCTATCGGGCCTGTCGAGGGTCAATTATAAGACAGTAGGACCCAGGCACAAATTCCTGCCCCCCTGCTATGGCGTTGTATGTTATTATAATAATTATATTTTGACGATTTCATCAATACCAATCATATAATTAAAAATGCACTTACCGGACCGTTTTCTTCCAGGCTTGGCATGGAACCTAAGATTCTGGCGTCCGTCATCAACACGAGCACAGGACGGTGTTGGGCATCCGAAGTAAACAATCCCGTGCCCGGGGCCATCGAGAAGCAGATTCCCAGCAACAACAATTATCTGGTACGAATCGCGACTTAACTTTCGGATTCTTCGCGAAAACCTAGTTTCTAAATCTCATTTTTAGATATTTTTCATCGGACCAAAAACACCAATCTTATCAAAATTGTTCACTCTGCAGACCAAATACATAATATTATTTTTCCCACACTCGATCATATTTTTTATATTCACCTACGCTTGGATCCACGCCTGAATATTGGCTAATGGCTATAGCCTATAGTCCAACAGTTTATTTTTAATATTTTTATACGTTGTAAAATTTTCATGATGTACATAGTTTGCGGCCGGAGGGTCCACCCACCAAAAAATACAGTGGTAGCAGCAGCTACCCTTGAACCCTATAGGTAGATAGAATAATTTTCTAAATTAAAAAAATGCTACATAATACCTATATATACTAGAGGTACATTTCACCGGTAAGATACAGCTAAATAAGTAGCCTACCCTCGAATTTAGTGGAGTATTTGAGTTGGAAAACAGTCAAGTCCGTGCCTCGTGATATAAAAATATACAGCAGCATAACTTTCTTAAATGTCATATCAAGAAATGAAATATGTATTAAACGTGAAATATTTAAGTTGTTTTTAATGGGAACCAACCAACATGATCGACTAACGCTAACTATAGTCTATTATAGGTATTAATTAGAATATAAAATATAAATATACATATCTGTACAGAATGGTTTCAAAGCCGATTTGCTGCTGAAAGACATGAGATTGGGCGAGTCGCTGGCGAAGGGGATAAACACACAGACTCCATTAACGCACCTCACCGTGGACGTGTACGCACGTATATCACAAATGGGATGGGGTGACAAGGATTTTTCGATCGCCTACAAATACTTCAAGGAACAGCAGTCATGATCCATTCCTGACTATCCATTCCTAAGACTTCAAAGTTTAGAGTACAAAAATATAAGAATACATAATAATATATCACATATTATATTATATTGTTACAATACGTAAATACACGTAAAGTTGATTTATTTTTTTTTTGTTTAATATATATATATATATTTTTTGTACATACATGATATATATTACAAATAAAAACATAATTACGACCTAATAGTTAAAATGTTTGTTCACAATTGTACATAAAAAAAAAACATACACAAAGAAGAAAATCAAATGCAAAAGTTGCCACGTTCCAATATATTTACATAATTGTGGAAGAGTACACATGAACAATATAAAAAAATAAATAATAGTAATAAATGATGTTAAGTATTGATAAAAAAAAAATACATAATTACAGTCGCAAGTGGAATGTGCAACTGGTAATAAACGTAATATTTGTGTTCCTTGTATTATCATTAAATTTAAGAAATGACATAATCTAATAGTAATTCAACAAAAGTATGAGTAGTTCACCAAAATTGAAGTTCACAGTACGTTTAGTCTTGAGAAATTATTGGGTAAGAAAAATTTTTTATAATGTTTTGGGCTTACAACGTTTTGAATATGCACATTGTAGTATACACATTATTAGAGTTCCTAATTAATAAATTATTATATACTATTGTTTTTTATTTTAAAAAAATGTTATTAATAACACCACAACTATGCTCTACTAAGCTTTTTAGCAGCCTCTTACTCAAGAACAATTGAGTATTTCTCAAACTTACCAGTTGGTTGTTAAAATACATTATAAATAATTATAAAATAACACCAACTAATCATAAGTAAATAACTAATTTTTTTTTTTTGTCATTATTATTAATTATTACTTTTAATTCTCTTCTCACTAATCTGTGCACCTGTTTAAGTCTCTTATCTGAAACAATATAAATGAAAATTTAATTTTTTACGGTTAATCTGAAATAAAATATTATTTCAAACATGATATTATATAAATTTATCTGATCAGGCTGTTGGTCACAGCAATAAAAATATTTAACACAATGCATAAATGTGTAATCATTTAACTTTTTTCTGGTGTTATAGATGTATTTTCTTATATGCAGAACAGATTTTTTTAAATTGAAACTTACATGGTGAGAACGCTTCTACAATATTTAATTTAACTTTTAATGAGCTAAATACATTTTTAATATAGTAGATACATGTGTTACACACAAAAGATTGAATTTTTTTTTTATTATTATATTATTTACAAATAGTATTATGAAAAACGATTTAAATTGATAATTTATTCATTCCATTAAGAAAACATCAGTTATATTGAAAGATATTCAATTTTAATATTTCTATTGTAAACAGTTCAAACACATTAATTTAGAATATTAAATTAATTTAACAAACGTACAATCAAGAATAAAAAATAATTGCAATGTCACAGGTTTACCTAAAAATAAAATTATTGAAACTATTGTAATATTAATTAAACACAGACTTAAAACAATTAAAAACTAATCATACATTTCTGTATAATCCATTTATAATCCGACCAACTAAACAATCAATTTTTAGTAAATTACAATTTAATTTTTTACATGTAATCAAGGTTGGGCATCATTGAGTTAAAAAGTTAAAGTGAAGTTACTTTAACTAAATTACATAAGTACTTTATAACATAACTCCACTAACAAGTTAAATTGTTTTCCATGATATGCAGCTACTAATCAGTTAATTAATTTTAAAGTCATGTTAAGTTAATTTGTTTATGCCTGATGAATTTAAAAAATATTATGCTTTATACAAATCATTGATTTTTTAGAAAAAATAATAATAAATGAAACTAAAATAATATTTTTAATGTTATATGTAATTATTGGAGATTCTAAATTATAGACTAACAGTGTTGAATGCACTATTTCTAGATTTCAATTAGGACAAATAACATATTATAACATAATATATAAAAACAACTTTATAATATTTATTTCCAAAGAAAATTACAATCTTGCCCAAACAAATTAATTTCAAGTTTCTTATGTCTCAACAATAACACAGATAACCCAGTTTTGACATCTGAAGAAACAGTGGTTCCTTGATCTATTTAAAAATTAATAATTTCTGGAGCTCTATTATTGGATGGCATTTCTGTTGTTTCCTGTGATTACTCCTATATAAGTGATTTTTAATACATATTTTTTTTATCTGTCTATGCTTTCATCAAATTTGCTTATTGTACTTCGGCATAGATAATAAATATAAAGTTTAATAAAAATTTAACTGATTTTTAACCAAGTTAAGTTACTTCTTTTTAATCTGTTTTATTCAACTAGTAATTTTTACAATTTTTTATTTTTCTGTACCTATTAACTTAACGAGTTGGAAAATTACTTAACTTACCCAGCCTTGAATGAATAATATTATTTAATTATTTAATATGTATTAACAGTACCTAAACAAATACACACATTAATTTTTTAAAAACTCCACATGTAATTATACTGATTTTAAATTAGGTACTTATACATAAATTTACCATTATTTGTTTTAATCGACAGGCATTGTTAACATTTAATAATTATTATTATTAACTACCATTAAACATTGTATACAGTAAGTTATATAATACTTAATTTTAATAATTTATGTTCATATTGTTTGTATTTAATAATTAATCATGAGATTAATATGGGTAGATCATATCCTGTTACAGTAGAAGTAATTAAAACTAAATTTCTTAAGTAAACAATCAATTTCCAATTAAGTTGTAAAATCAATACTTTCACAATTATTACTTGAGTTAATTAATATAAAAATAAACACTATTCAAATATTTTAAAACACACTTGAGGTAAACTGTAAAGTCAAGAATGCAATCATGCATCAAGAATAAATTAAAGTATCAAACTTAGATGTTGGGACAAATTTAACACAAGTATGAATTGGTCAAATATTAAGCTAGTTTGGATGAGTTGTAAAAGTATAATTTATAGTTATTCACATTTAAAATGTATTATTGTTTTTTGATTAAAAATAAGTCAAATAAATAAGAATATTTTAATAAAAAATAATGGTAACAGCATAAAATTTGATTTCTACTTGATATTACACTCGGAATGTTAATGTGATTAAAAAATATACAAATTATACATTTAATTTTCATGAGTAAAAATAACTAAATTAATTTTAAAAATACCCAATAACTTGAACTTTTTATATTAAAAATAAAAATGTACTTAAATTATTAGTCAACCTAAGTAAAATATAAATAACAAAAATTAAAAATAATAGGTTGTAGAAACTATGGCTATCACATAACACATTTTCCTTGATTTTTATACTTTAAAATTATATTTGGTTTGTTCTATTTTAACTTTAAAATTAAACAAATAAAAAAATTATCTTATAAGATTTTAAGCAATGTAAATTGTATGTTTTTACTTATTACAGTTGTATGTAATTTATACTGAAACTGTGAAATACTGTCTAGTTTCAAAAATAAATTTAATCAGAATCTTATGAAGTGTAATATTCACTTATTCATTAAGAGACTGTTTTGCAATCATAGTTTAAACCTCGGTTACGCCTAACCCACTGATTTTACTCGCCGAATTCGGTGGTTTAACCTTAGTTTAATGATTGTAATATGGGTACTAAGTGATTACAGTATAAATTTTTTTTTATTTGTCATTACATTTTTATTTTTATTGAACGATTATTTAATCTTTAGTTTATGGATCAGAATAAATTTATGAAACCTCTAAAACTAGTAATACGTGTAATTTGTGTTTGAAAGCAGAATTTTTTAACAATGTGTTTTTACAAATTAACATTTATTATTGAACCATTGATACACTAAATAGTAAATAGTAAATAATATGCATTATTTTGACTACAAATCATTAAAGTTATATAATTATAAAATGTATTTGAACTTTATTAAGACTATTTATCACAAATGTTTAGTAAATTATAATAAAGATTCGGGGAGATAGGAAGAAATTTGAAATATAAATTAATTAACTAATAGTATTTTTTTAAGAAATTTAACTAAGTTATTTTTTTTAGTTATAATTATCTTTTATTCACAAGATTACCTTAGTCATGTTAATATCTTGGATTTGCTATGAGCTGGAAAAAGGAGGTATCGGTAAGTCTGCTAGTAGTGAAGCAGGATCCAAAATATTGGCCATGTGTGACTGTGACAATCTTTCAAGCGATCTGACATCCATGTCAACAGCCTCCAATGCTCTTTCTAATTCTTCAGTTTCTTCACGAGAAGGTACATACTGTCCATTTTTATCAACTTTATAAAGAAAAGAATTACATAAAATTATAAATCAGCATAATTAATTACATATTTATTTTTCATAAATACATACCAGTAAAGAGATCGTTGAATGCATCTACAGGTATTTGACTGAACACGCTTGTAATATCATCGTGATCATCCAATAGCCGTGATGCATGACTTGCTAAATCAGCTGCATCCAAGCCAGCAAGTACTTCGTCACCAACTTCTACTTCGTGTGTAATAATATTACTACCAACTGTTAAATATGCTTTATTATTATTTTTTAAGATTTAAAAAATGTGTAAATCATAAAGCAAGATAGAATGGACTGTAAGTGAGCATTATAATATGCATTATATAGTTTGGTTGTGGCTAAGGAGAGACATATATTTAATGGAGATTATGATTAAGAGCCTCAAGCTCTATCTTTATTCGTTATACATAAATATTACTTGTGTGATGGATATAATATAATATGACGAGGCGAACAATTAAAATTTCTCCCTGGTACATGTCTTTTAAAAGTCACAAACTATAATAAGTCTGGCTATTATTTCCAGTCCATTCTATCTTGGTGGGTAGTTGGAATTAATCTTTACCAGGATGTAAATAAATATCAGGATTGGCAACAGACGAGTAAAGTGATGTAACATCACAACTGATATTTTGAGGCAGATCGTTAGTGCATGTAATTGGCTCAATAGTATTAGGTTCAATCGTTTCTGTATATGATGGGGGCTCAAGAGGGAATTTAGGCAGTTGCTTTTTCTTTTTACTACGCTTTGACAGCTTGTTAAATGGAGCATTCTTTGGCCTTTTACGTGGTTTAGACTTGACAACAGGTACTTCCTCAGCCTAAAATTATTTTTATTATCATTCAATATAAACTAATTATTGAATTGTGTTTAAGGTGATTTTTAACTCACCGGAATTATTGTTTCTTTAGAGTACAAATGGTCAAAGCACAAAGGCTGTACATCATGAACATTAAACACAGCATTGGTACACGGACCTTGATTAGTTCGTGCAGAACAGTGTTCAAAAAGGAGTTGGTCAACATTTCGTAAAATATGTCTAAGACAATGACGAGTGCACGGTATAGCAGGATCGTGGCATCTTTCCAAACAACATTTTTGCTGTACCATAGACACACCACCAATACTGAAAAATAAAAACCAAAATCAATTATTTTGTTGAAAATCCATTACTATTTTAATATTAATTTGTCAAAATAATAGTTAACAATGTATTCATATATTTCTAGTAAACAAAAAAATAATAATTTTAATTTAATGATTATTATGAACCTTTTAAATTTAGGTTTAAAATCAGAATCTCGGCATACTAATTTATTGATACAAATAGGATCATGTCGTATAGCGCTTGTCATTGCTAATACTAAATCAGGAGATGGTGAGTTATCAGGAAGGTTAGATAATTGATGAAACCTTCGCCGAAGTACTGATCGCAAGTTTTTCACTTTAGTATCTCGATCTAAAGGTTCAATTTGATCGGAAGGTAACCAAAATCTTTGATACGGTGCATCCTCTAACTCTAAATTCAATGGATCATCAGTGTCAGATGATCCATCAGATGATACTAAATCTATAAAAAAAAATGTTTTAACAAATTAAACATAATAAACAATCAACATTATATTAAATATTTGACTTACCTAAAGGATATAGGTTTCCCCTCAATTTAGCTTCTTTCTCATATTCTTTTAGTATCCTTTGCAACGTTTCATGTCTGGTTCCACAATCCTTTTGCCAATTACTTAACTTAGCATGATTTCTTTTGGGTGGAATAGTAATTATACTGCAGCTTAGCTGGTTCTTGTCATTTTCATTCAAAGGATCTATTTTATCAGGTTTTTTATTTCCACTAGACACACTTTTATCAGCCTTAATTTTATTTCGTTTTTTTGCTTTTGTCTTTTTTGGTGATGATTCAAATACAGTGGACAAACGATCATGAACTTTTTCTGGGACATCAACAGGAGGAGGTGTTGGAGATGTAGTATTGTACAATAGTTCTTTGAACTTTATAACATCATCTTTGAGATTTGGTTTATTTGCCACAGGATCAACAGCTGTGTTATTCTTTATTGGTACAACTGGTTTAATGACTTGACTTTTGGTTTTAACATTTATTTTGGGCAATTTAAGCACAGGTTGTCTAACTTTTGCTGGAGTAATAAACCGGTTTTTCAGTACTGTTTCAATTTTTTCTTTTTTACACCCCTTGCGGTCTTTTTTTGATGTACGTCCAGATAATTGGACATGTCCATTACACTTGACTCCCCCATCAAATGTACCCATTGAAAACATGTCCCGGGAAAATACATTCTGCATCGCTTTAACCGTTTAAATTTATTGTTGGTTACCACATTCCGCACCCTGTAAATCAAAGATAATAAAATTAATAAATAAACTTAAATTAGCAGCATGGTAATGAGAATAGTGACACAAGAACATAGACGTAAATGTGCTGCCTGAAACGGTGTCGATTACAGTCGAACGCTAGGGATCTTGACACGGACAACTCAAATTAATTGATAGTAGGTAGGCAGTAGGTAGTCTGGTAGTCAAGTTAGTCCAAAAATCACCAAAAGGTGAATATTTTTTTTTACTCACCAATTCTGTAATCACAATTGAACGCGGTCTGCGGTGAGTGCCAACTTCCTTTGCTAAGCACTACAACAATGACAATGACCACGAAGTCGATGACAACAACAACAACAACAATAACAACGACAATGAATGCCGTTGGTACGGTCCGGTGTTGGTGAGGCGCGAACGGTACACGGACATCGGTCGACACGCGAAGCGTCAGGCGTCCAGGCGTAACCTGGGGAGCCGATGGTCGGGAGACAATAATTGAAAAATAATAACAAAATTAACGAAAAATATTTTTGCCGACTTACGATAGTACTGTGTACACTTATATTATATATATATATATAATAATAAAATATAAGAACCGTATATATGCGTTTGTGTGTGTGTGTATAACGAGTAATTTATTATTATTACTTTTTTATTTTTATTTTTTATCAATACGTAAAACACTGATATCGACAAACGTAAACAAAGTGTGTTATCAGCGAAGCGTACAATTAATACTGACGGCGGTCTACGGTATTCGACCGATGCGCCGGCGCCAAGCCACCGGGTGACGGTCCTCCACCAACTCCAAACGCCGCGCATCGACACGCAACGGTCGAAGCGCACCGGTAGGTTGGCAGCACTGGTGTATCGATACTAAGCGCGGGTAACTTTACTAACTGCTCACCTAACCACAGAATAGGTGAAACTGGTGAAAGTGGAAAGTCCTATAGGCTATAATGGACTATGACCAAACTACAGTAAGTAATAACTACCAAATACTGAAATACCAAGTACCAAAGTCACCACCACCATTCATGATTACACGGATAATAATATAAATTATAATATTTACTGCGTGTAATACTACGCCACTATTGCGAACTGCGTTCACACTTTCACAGTAAGTTCACAAGACTTGTCGTAACACTCCCGATTTTCCGTAAGATCTGAAATCGTGATGTGTCATTGTGTCGACACTCGACAGTTTGTTGTGGTGTAGAGTGTAGACCATGGCTAAATAACAGCCACGTGTAGTGTGTTACTGTGTTCTATACAAAAGTCTTGAGGTAATATCAGTCCCAAAATTATTAATTTTTTTTTTGAGGGGGTTAAGCCCCCCAATCCCCCTTCTATTTGAGTCACTGGGTACTATACTATATTATTCCACATTTCCACTATTACCGTGTTGTGTTTAGAATGTTCTTGTTACTCACCAAATTAAACTATATTGGGCTTTACTGAAGCAAGTGCGTGGGCATGCTTGACTGGTACCTACATTTCTATTTTCTAATACAGCATGCGGGGAATAAATTTACCTTCTCATAAAGTATACCTACCTGTAATAAAATATTTTAAATGTATCAAAGGTACAATAAATCTTGGTGGTTATGTCTATTTTTTTTCTTGTACAAGGTACAACGCATTAATTTTTTTACACTGGTCGTGTTGGTAAACAAGTGTTAGTAATTACTAATTAAGTGTTTATTCTTAACTTGCCTATATAGTTACATGGAATAGGTAACTGAGTAAGTGTTGTGATATCGTAAAATTGACCCAGCAGATTCTTCATTTGCCACCACAGATGGATGAAAATTTTATAATAACAATTACTGCAATCTTGAATCGTGATTCGTTGATCGACTACTGATGACTTACATTATCGACAAGTTGTTGTATTATAGGCTATAGCTATTAATCATTATCGCCGCAAATAACGCAATATTCCCTTTAGGCGAGTGTAACGAGTATTTGAGGTAGGACGTTTGAACATATTTAGATAAAAACGCTGTCAGGTTAAGAGCTCGATTATAAAATGACCAAATGGCAAATTAGTTCTTATTTTATGATCATTATGTGTACCCTTTGATTTCCACTGTGTTCATTATATTTATAATTAAGGTGCAATGTATACACTAAGTGTTATGCAATGTACAATACATTGGTACTGCATACACTCCCGGTAGATCGACCAGACAAGGTCGACCGCATAGTATATTAAGCTGGGTCCACGGTCCACCTGCAGAGGGGCTTTTGTATTGTTTCTGTTTCTAAAAACAATTTAGATTCTCTCGTCTATGCTGGGAAAAGAATATTTTATGTTTTGCATTGTTTTCTAGACCTGTGTGTCGTAGTACCTACCCAATATTGTTTTAATTTGTTTAGGTGAAACGATTTCACTAGTCTTAAATTGCCACATAACTAGTCAAGTAAGTAATTGAATATACCTAATTAACTATTTGTTATGTCACAGTTACGTCATTTAGGTACACGTTTAATGTTTATCACAATATGGTTAGCACGGAAAAACGATGACGGTGCGATTGTAAGTACGTACCTTTTTTTTTTTTGTATAGTCGAGGACCTGGGAGAAACCGTGATTTGCATTACAGGTTACAGCTCCCCGGATTAGTGTACCACTGCCTACTGTGCGCACACCATTTAGATTAATATAGATATAATAAAAATTAATTTTAATTTTTAATTCAATTTCTATTTAACTGTATTTATTCTATAATACAAAATTCAATTTTTAAAACATGACAGTTATTACACTCCTAAAATGTAGTCGAGATATGCAATAGATACACTTCAACTAGTGTGCAGTTCTGTCAGAACACGGCCGGTCCGTGTAAATACGTTCGGTCGTAGAGTGGTGGGTGGCATTATTTTCTTAACTCCGTCTGTATTTTCTATTTTTATTTTTTTTCATTCAAACAATTGTTAATTTGGAGTTCACTAATATCTTTTTTTAATGAACTTTTGCAATAATTGCATACCATTTACATTAAACATAACGAGTCACCACTGACCACTAAATATTTAATCCACGAGCACCCACTGTACTTACCAATTACCTGGTTATATTTATTTAATTCGTATTTCGTAGTCTATTAAAAATGTTAGTAGCTCAAATACTCGAAAGGCACCTCAGAATAGTCACTTGTAAATTGGATAATGGATGTAAAACTTAAATTTTTTTTTTGTGGGATCCAAATATTTCCAACATTATGCACCAAAACAGCATTGAAAAATTAAAGGCACTTCTTCTGTGCTATTTTTAGACATTTTAAATTTTCTAACTTTTGTGATTTATGTATTATTGTTTTTTTGATAAGAATTGTATTGAGAAATACAGGTTGAAAATATAACACATGATTCCTATACAGTTTATATAGTGAAATTTAAAAACAAATTTAGGTTACACTAAGATTTCTTTTTTTTAGATTCTGAGTGAAACGATGAATTTATTGATTTGATTTTACAATGAATTGAAATACATTTTCTTCAACAGTAGCTTTTCTGATAGGAAAGTGAATCTAGTTGCAGTGGCGTATTTAGGAATTTGTCATGGGGAGGGTCCAGATAATTTTCAGAACACAGAGCCACGGGGGACGAAGCCCCCCACACCGCCCATTTACTCTTTATTAAATAAAATATACCATATTTATAAGTCGATATAAAATTGTCGAGTTTTTAATTATTATTATTGTTTTGTACATATTATTATATGTACAAAACAATTTTAAAAAGAAGCGGGTAAGTGGATGTCACTCTGCTGCTGTACAGTAGGTTACAAGTGGGTCAATATATGGATTGATGGATTAATGGATTGCATTAAACTTGAACTCAATGATATAATATCATACCTAATATCAATTATCATTGTATAAGAAAAACGATTCTGAGCGAAGACGGTTTGTCAGTCTGGATATTTTATATTGTTATTATTTATTATAGCCTGTAAGTTGAATTAATAATGAAATACTCTTATTTTTTATTTTTTTCTATGGTGATAGACAATGTGTTAGAAATTAAAATCCCATTTTTAGCGATTTTTCGTAATTTTTTTGGTGGTTTTTACAGTGACATTAAATAACTATTGAGAAAATCGAAAAATGACCTCTCTAAAGTACTATCTTGATCCAATTTTCTAAAAGATAAGTTACTATATGTCTATACATGTTGAAATCGAAGCACTCCTTCTGGAAGAAATTTTGTATACAGGAAAAAAAAATAAACACCATTGTAGAACCAATAGATCCCTCAGAATCGAATATATAGTTATATGTTATAACTTTTATACAAATATTTTCTTAATTACATTAGGTACCTACTTCATTCATAGTTGATCTTAGATAGCTTTTCAACCTTAAAAAGGTTGAAAAAGATCTCTCTGGAGTGGTTGTAGATACTGGCAATGTACAAAACTACAAAATATTTGAATTAAAAATGAATTTGATATTTTTCAACCATTTTCGGTACCCAACTGATAAAAATAATCACGATATTTATTGAAAATGTTGATATAACTATAGCTTCGAAAATTTTTTATAAAATCCGTAAAATCGTATGATAAAATTTGTTTTTTAATCATGTAAAAACTGCACAACATTTAACATGTACGAGAAACGAGTCAATGGGGGGGGGGGTCCGGACCCCATGGACCCCCCCCCGTAAATACGCCACTGTCTAGTTGGTACTTTGGGGGGTCAAAAGTGAAAATTTCCCAGTAGTTTTCAAAAGCGCCGTAAAAAACAAAAGAAAAATCAAGGAAAAACGGGAACTGTTACGCAAAATCTGTTTTCGAGAAAATCGATTTTGGTTTTTGGTGCAACTCTTAAACAAATGACCGTAGATACTTGCAATTTTGACTGAATATTTATATTAGCATTTTCTATACACTATAACATTTTTAAAATGTTTTGATTTATTTTAAACTGTTTAGGCACATTTTCATTTTCCATTTTTTTTTCTAAAAATATCAATAAAATTTTATTTGTTGGTTGCGAAAGCTTGAAAATTTAATAGAAGGCTCCTAGTATATTGTTTCAAAGGCAGATGAAAAATATTAAAAATCCTTAGTCACATTTTTTTTTATAAGCATTTAAAGTTCAATAATTGACAAAATATGGAAAAATCACAAAAATTAGCAAATTATATTGAGTTAAGAATTCGTAAAAATTTCTTTTTAAATCTAAGATTTGAAAATGTAATACAAGATTCCTTATGAGATTATCTACGTTTATCAAAAAAAAAAATGTCCATAAGAAAGTCAAATTAAATTTTTATGAGCGTTTGAAATTCAAATTTTTACAATATTGGATATTTACTCGATTTCTCATGTAGCAATTTCCTTATTTTGTTGTAATTCAAAAACGAATAACTGTAGATACATGAAAATTTCACTGAATATTTATATTAGCATTTCCTATACACCATACAGTTTTTAAAATATTTTGACCCTTTTTGAGTGGTTTACAGACATTTTCAGTTTCCAATTTTTTTAGTTTTTTATTCTATAAATATCATTAAAGTTTTATCCGTTGGGCCAAAAAGTGAAAAAATTTAATTCAAGGCTCCTGGTATATTGTTAAAATATCAGTTGAAAAATATTAAAAATACATAGGCACAATTTTTTTTTATAAGAATCTAAGATCGAATTTTGACAAAATTTATCAGATTTAAAATTGAATAATTATTTTGTAGTTAAAAATTTATAAAATGTTATAACTTTTATATCTGAGGATTGAAAATTTAAAACAAGATTCCACGTAAGTAGTTAATTCTGTTACCAAAAAGTCTTAAAAATAGATAAGCACAGTTTATTTTTATAGTAATTTTAATTTCAAATTTGGACAAAATTACATAAAAAAAAACCTAGAATAACTATTTTAGTTATTTTGTTGATTGTGTAATATTATTCGTGGGTACTTGAAACTATTAAAGTACAATATTATATATCTATGATAGTATCAGGGTTTGTTGTTGATGTATGAAGCGTTATATGTACCTAATGGATATTGTGTTATGATTAATTTTGGAATTTATTATAGGTACCTATTTTAGGTAAATTTTTCTAACACGATAGATAAGTATATAATGTCTTATACAGTTATACCTAGACTGACATACAGTCTCCGCTCAGAATCGTTTTTCTTATACAATGATATTATATCATTGAATTCAAATTTAATACTATCCATTATACAGTGACCCACTTGCAACCTACTGTACAGCAGAGCACCTTTTTTTATGGTTAAAGTTCAAATTTTTCCAAGATCGCTAAAATTTCCAGATCATTTTGTTGTTAAAACTTGATGACATTTTCAATTTTAATACAAATTTTTGACAATTGTATACTTTGTTCTTACAGAAATATAATATTTTTAATAAATTAATTAGTTTTGTTGTTGTAATATTGTGCAATTATTCTAATTGCCGATTTCACCAACACAGCTAATCACGATTAAACTTTGATTATGCATAATCGGCTGATAACAGATATTTAACCGACCAAATTAGTCCGATTAAATTCTGGTTAACTTTAACCATGATTAACTGTGTTGGTGAAATCCGCCCTTAAGGGCTCAAAATGTTTTTCTATTACGTATAATATAAATTATAATAAACTATATATACACAATATCTTAAAAATATTATTTGGATTCATTTTATGATATTTATACAACAAACCTATTCACCACGATCTAAATGTTTAGCAATTTATAGAATTATAAGAATAACCAGTTATAAAATATAGATAACTCAAATTATCAAAAATTAATAACATAAATATGTAAGTATTAATTAATTTATCAACATTAAAATTTAGTCCCCCACTATCTGCCCGGAATTTAATCCTGGTACACCAATACAACTATAACAACTAAAAACAAATTTAAATTTATAACTGTAGCTAATAACATAAATATGTATCTTTTCTTATACTTATCTTCAAATTATAACTGATAAAAATGAATTTAAATTAGCGATGACGATTAAAAAAAATTCAAAATATAAATACACAAGTAATAATTTATTCAAAACATTAAGAGGTCGTACCAGCATGTGTTGTCTCTGTCTTATTTACGTTGAAGACCACTAGCGTAAACGGAGAAATAAAAAATTAAAATAATGAATGACATTTTTTTTATGGTTTTTTTTATTCAACGCATATTCATATTGTTATTGTACATTAAAATACAGGAGCCAGGATCTTAGTAAGCTTTCTTCCTGAAAGAACAACCTGAAATATAAAGTTATTTAGAATTAAAATAAAATAAAAATTCTACACATTTTAAAATATTACATAAATGGTAAATAATGGTTGTTATTATGTTCAAAATTGTTTTTCCTTTTTTTTTTTAATGACCCAAATAATTTAACTTAAACAGCAGGCATAAATCACCACTGAACAGAAGAAGGACATTATTTAGAACCTCATTTAATGTTTGCAAAAGCCATACTCTTATTTAGAATCATGTATAATATTATATTTATTATGAAAATTGATAATTAATCTAATGTATAAATACATTGAATTGGAAATGAGCTTGTAGTTTTCAAGACTTGAATTACAATATATTTTTGTATTTCAATATGTTTAACAATTCAGTAATAGTCTAATCCCAAAAATGGAAATAGGTATTGAATAAAATCATATGAAGACAATTAATTTATCTGAAATATAATCAAATATATACATTTTAAATTAAAATCATAGATGTTTTTATAAAAGTACCCATCGGCTATCATACAATAACTAACAACTTCTAAGAGTAAATATGATGCTTAAGAGAACGTTACACGTACATTTGTTGTCTCGGTCTTACAAGTGCGTTATACAGAAGATATTACGCTAATGTTTAATTCATTAGTTTAAAATTAGAGTGAATTAACCTCTTATAAAATTTAAAGGCTATATCTAGGGAATCTCTCATATGTTTTTTTATTATATTTTAATTTTAAAGGAAGTTATGGGAATTTTAAAATTGTATATTGTTTAAACTAAGTAAACTACTCATAACTCGCTTTAAAATTAAATAAATAAACTGAGATGCCCTAGATAATGATCTTAGCTTTGAATTGTATTCACTCAAATTTTCAAGCATACAATTTGCTATGTTACGCACGTATAAGGAGACAACAAATGTCCGTGAAACATCTTTTTAATTATTCGCTGAAGAAATATAAAAATCAACTTAGAAATATTTAAAAAAAATCATTACTAACCCATCGAAAACAATCTTAAATCAATGAATACTACTCAATACTTAAGTATATAATATAATAATGTAACTAGCACCTGAATAAATCTTTAAAGAACAGACTGATGGCAGAGGTCTGGGGGGGGAAACATTGTTAGAAAATGTAAACAAACAACTAAGGGCCGATTTCACCAACACAGTTAACGCTTAATCGGCTGATAACAGATATTTAACCGGCCAAATTCGGCCGATTAAAACTCCGGTTAACGTTAATCGTGATTAACTGTGTTGGTGAAATCGGCCCTAAGTCTATCTGTACAGCTATTATACCTTCTCATTAATAGGTTAAATCACATGCAATGGATGGATCCACAGCTCAAGATTTTGATGTACATGTTAGTAACGATAAGTTGCTTGGCAAGTGGCCTTTATTTTACATGTACTACTTTCAGTCACAGAGTTATTTGGAGTGGATTATAAATATGTGACTAATTGATGACACTTGCCAGGCAACTTATCACCAACATGTACATCATCGTATTATAATATGTATAAGCCATTTGGCCATGGCTTCATCTATTGAATATAATCGAAGCTTAATAGCGAGAGCAAGTTTTAACATTTTAAGACAAAGATAGCATATACTTTAGGTCTTATCATATGCTGTCTAATTTAAGTAGAGGCTATATCTTTCAAACAGTGTCAGCACTAAACAACCTATAGTATGAATATGGCCATATAGAGGATCCCCAGGCAATGTTCCATTATGTCCAAATAGACATTACACATAACAAATAAACTTAAATATATTAATAAATGTTCTCTTAACAATTCAAACAGTATTTTAGGTGATAATAAAAGTAATACTTGACTTTATAAACCTTACCTACGAAACATAACAAACAAACATGTTAACTAAGCATTAAAATTAAAAATATTATATACTTAGTTAACCTACGTTTAATTTTTAATAAAAACGTTGCAACCTACCTTCAGTTAGTCTAGCTCGTCCTCCAGTGGGCTGACATAAAATTGTGGAACATCCGGTACATATAACTACGCTCTGAGCGTGACTGAATACAGTTGTAATTTTATAACATCCAGGGCATTTTACATCCATGAAAAAAGAGTTTGGGTGTTGGACAAGGCGCTTTAATTTGTGTTTCCTGCGTTCTTCGATTGCAGTAGGATGAAGCAAGTCTTTAGCTAACTATAACACAATAGAGATAAAATATATATATATATACATATCAAATACGGACAAAATAATATAATATATATTATGTATAAAATGCAAGAGGCGTTCAGTATAATACTTACAGGCATATTGTCTTATTTGAGTTTATTTGAAAGATAAACGAAAAATCAAGTTTTACCTGCAAAAAATTAAACAAATTCAATAATATTAGTTTGTTTTGTCATATTGAAAAAAAAATTGAGGACGTAGGTAGGTATTATAGACCTATAGGTATTGACGTGTATAAACCATACCACTGTATATCCTGTATAGTAAATACCTAGATAGATCAAGTGTAATGAAAATTCGCTAATGTCAATTCAAATTCTATAGAACTATATATAACAAAAGTATAGTATAATATAATATGTTTACTATTAATTTTGACACATACAATTTGAAAACCACGAGCACCATAACCTAAAGACGGCTCCGTACAAACATGGTTCTGATAAGCTAATTTTTGGTTCGCAAAGTTCGCGTTACCAAGAATTACTTAGAATTATATTCATGAGGAATTCAACGAACGATGTCCATTGACTAGTCGTTAAGGTATAAGGGCAATAAAATATATAAATTTCACTTACCAGTCACCAAAAAATTGGTCTTGAAGCACGTTTTCATGTGTGGACAGACCGAAACGTTAACAGAGAGAGAATGATGGTGCGGACGGAATGTAGCCGACGCCGTAATCATGGAGTAAAAAACCGTCGCACACTCTCGCACGACCCGATGGTGGTCTGAAAAGAAAAAATAGAATTGCTGCGAATATAATTTTTAGATTCGTCGTTAAATATATTGCATATAATTTTTGAAAAATTATTAATAAAAACACGAATTATTCCCATTCCAAGTCACAAGGGTTGATCTATCAACTGCTACGAAAAATGTGCGATTTTTTTTAATCCGTTTTGAAAAAGTCCAGAAATGAGTATGTTGTATGCAATATAAGAATTCGTGGTTGTAAGACTGTGTTTTGATAACAACCAATTTATATTGTGTATGATTATAAATTATAATATTATAATCAAAAATAATAATTATAATAAAATGTATAATTTCAAATCTAGGGTATGAACTGCACTAAAAAAGGTTTAAGTATACTAATAAAATACCTATATGAGGTGTATATCTAAATATCATGTATATCAAATATAAAGATTAGTAATATTATATTGTTTTAAATACTTCGTGCAAACCTAATGTGATACCCGGCTTATAGTAGGTATAATATGCAAAAAGGTACGTATATTAAACTTGGCGTGGAGAAACGAGACGGTTTTGGACTGTTTGGGCTCGAGCATTTTTACATTGTGCTTTTAGAAGTAATAGTATAAATGCTTCTACGTCACCCCTTGTTTTAATACAATATTATATGGATAACCATTAACCACAGCTAATTGTTCAATAATCAATTAGATAATACAACTGATCAAAATTAACTTTATTTTAACATTGCCTTTTAGTACAGCTTCCAACTAACGCTAAAAGAAACTAAATTACCTAATAGATTTTTATATAAAAATGTGTATAAACTAAGTAATATAATTAATAAGTAATGTATATTTAAATATAATATAATTAATTACAATTTACAATAGTTTTAAAATAATTCTAAATTCAGAAGATAAATATATAGAATTAATTTTAAAATGCCTATAATGGGTAAGACATTTTCAAGATAAACAGAATATGATTTCAAAAACTGTTGGAGCTAAAAATGTCTATAACCATCTAAATAGTAAATTGACACATAAAAAAAAATTATAAAATTATAATTATTTGTTTTATACTATAATTTTAAGATTTAATGATCTACACAATAAGTTTGTTAAAAAAGATTCATGAGATACATTTGCGCACTCTTGCGGCTTGCATCTCACAAATGACGCCACTGTTTTGAATGTACTTAAACATAAATTATAAAAATGTAATTGTTTAAAAAGTATTTAACTATGTTTTGTTGTTGTATAATTAATAAATAAAAAATAAAACGTTCTCTAATAATAATAAACTCAAATTTGATAGCATATTTAATGTGTTATTATAGCATTTTATTTATTTTAGGTTGCTAGTGAATCTTCATTAGATTCGATTCCTCCTGTCAAGAAGAAAAATGCTGAAATTCTGAAAGAAGCATGGTTCTGGACATCTGTGCAATATCAGAGTTGCGACTTAATAAAAGAGTATAATTAATAATTATTAACCAATGTAAGAACTAATTTTAATACTTCTAAATATGTAATTTGTTATATACTTATGCAACTTCAATTGGTTTTGTTAAATGTGACCAACAAACCTATGTCTGCACGCAAAAGAAAAGAAACATCGCCAACCAATAGTTCAGGACCGTCAAAACGATGGTCATCAGCTGCCAACACCCCCCTTGATGGCCTAAGGTTGTCTTGTGGATCATTTTTAAATGCCACGAACAGCCCAGGTCATCCTTCACTTTTTAAAACTCCCAAAAAGTAAGTGTTTTGTAATAATAATATTGTAATAACAGTGTGTTTGAATGTATCTTTTCCAGATCCAGATATAGTTATAAAAGATAGACCATTTAGTCCACGATATCAAGTTTTCTCTGAATTATTACGGACTGAGATTAAATATGTGGGAATGTTAAAGACAATAATTATTAATTACAGTGAAAACTTTTTCTTAATTCATACTTCATAATGTATTTTTATTTATTTTTTCTATTTTCATTGTACCACAGTTATTTTCTATCCTTCGTTCACCTAATTATTCAGGTTTTAATTTTGTTCGTAGGTGTACAAAAAACCATTAGAAGAAGTGGTAGACAATGAAGACTGTTTGCTTAATAATACTGAAATTAAAATTTTTTTTGGAAATGTTTTACCTATTTATCAAGGAATGTTAGAAGAGCTCAAATGCTTTGCTACATCATGGCAAGAAGATAGACAAGTAGTATGGGCAGTGTTTTTCTCTAATATGTAATATCACACATTTGACACTGGATTTTGCAATCAAAATAAGCGTTGCATAGGTCGAATGAGAAGTTCTTGTAGACTTTGTCGACAACATTCGGGCCTTGTCTGACCGACCACAAGGAAAGCATGAAAACGAGGTTTTGTTTGATCACACTACAATAACATCTGCCTTGTTTTTTCAAAAAAATTTACAAGCAGTGGATAAGCTTTCACTAATTCACTGGACTACAAGATAATTAAAATATTAAAAAATGTATTTTGATTGCAAATAACATAACAATAACAAATAAAATGTTATTGATATTTATAGAAAAAAAAATGGGAACTGAAAATGTCCGTAAACAGCCCAAAATAAGTCAAAATATTTGGGAAATGTAATGGTGTATAATAAAATGCTAATATAAATATTCAGTAAAAATTTCATCTAAGAGCGGTCATTTGATTAGGAGTTGAACCAAAAACCAAAATTGATTTTTTCGAAAACAGATTTTACATAAGAATTCCCCTTTTTCCTAAATTTTTCTTTTGTTTTTCACGGCGCTTTTGTAAACTACTAGAAAAATTTTACTTTTAACCCCCCAAAGTACCAACTAGATTCACTTTCCTTTCAGAAAAGATACTGTTGAAGAAAATCTAAGCACTTTTACTGTCCTAAAAGGTGATGACGGACACAAAAAAAAAAAACACATTGAACAATTAATACATTCATCGCTAAGATCAGAATCTATAAAAAGTTAGATTTTTTGATTTCTGAAAATTGTCGACTTGTATTTACAGTTACCGACATTCGAGGGGTATAATCCCCCTCTCCCCCGGAAAAATCGCGGGTTGACCTTGTGCCACTCCATTTAAAATGAAAAATGTACGTAGTCATTAAAAAAATAATCAACTTAAAAAACAGTAAAAAAATATTAAATTTGTATTAAAAAAGGTGTTCTGCTGTACAGTAGGTTACAAGTGGGTCACTGTATAATGGATGGTATTAAATTTGAATTCAATGATATAATATTGTATAAGAAAAACGATTCTGAGCAGAGACGGTATGTCAGTGTAGGTATAAGACATATTATATACTTATCTATGGTATTAAAAAAAATATTATTATTAAAATATAATAGATACCTACCTATAACAAAATTCCAAATTAATCATATCACAATATCCATTAGGTACATATAACGCGTTATACATCAACAGCAAACCCTGATACTAATATACTATCATAGATATATAATAGTGTACTTTAGAAGTTTCAAGTACCCACGAATCGGCCACGAATAATATACAATCACAACAAAATAACTAAAATAGTTATTCTAGCTTTTTTTTACGTAATTTCATCCAAATACATAGCAAATTATACGCAAAGCAGAACACGTGTAGCTCCGTTAGCTTAAAAATTAGAGTTAATTGACCTCTTATAAAATCTAAAGGTAAAATTATTATCTAAACAACCTCTTGAGCTTTTTATTATATTTTAATATTTGAGGGAGTTATGAGTACTTTAAAATTTACAGAAAATTTACAATTTTAAAATACTCATAGCTCGCTTCAAAATTAAAATATAATAAAAAGCTCACGAGGTTGTCTAGATAATAATCTTACCTTTAGATTTTATAAAAGGTCAATTTACTCCAATTTTTAAGCTAATGGAGCTACAACACGTGTTCTGCTTTGCGTAAAATTTGCTATGTTACGCACTTGTTAGACGGAGACAACACATGTGGGTATCAGTGTATCACGTCCTTTTAAGTATACAGTCGGAAGATTTATCATTGAAAGTCGGAAATATTCACTTCAACCCCCCCCCCCTAAAAATAAACTCTAGGATAGCTCCTGTTTCTGGCCAGTTGCTTTTGAGGCGTCTTGACGGGTTTTCTGGAAGATGGGTGGTCGGCCGTTTTGGAGTGGAGGCGACTGAGGCGAGTATAAAATTTGGCAGCTGTTTGTTTAGAAATTTTTAGCTCATTGTGGAGGCTGACATTGCCACATTGGTAACGTACCAGGGGGCATTCGTCACAGTCATTCGTAGGCAAATAGCTTGGAAAGCTTAAATAGTTCTAGAGTTTCTAGTGTTAGCTGGTTTGGCTGAACCCTAGAAAGTAATATACTTATAAATTAAACTAATTCATATCTTTGGATTTTGGTAGTATCAAATATTTTTTCCACTTAAAAAAGATTTTTTTCCTGGTTTTGTAATCGGCAAATTTAAGAACATCGCAGTATGGATTACAGAAACCATTTTTAATTATAAACAAAGCGAGGTCTTTAAATGTTGTGTTTAATAATCCTCCTTTAATTTGACTGGTAAAATATGGAGAAATGTCATCATTATTTTTTATTTATAGAATAATATTTCAAATACATCAAATATCTATACTGACAGTGCAGAAAACTGTTTCATACATAAATACTTTAAAATAATGTGATTTTGATATTTGTTATCGAATACTAAAGTCTAAAATAGTAAATTATTAGTTGGGCAGTCTATGGGCCTCAGTGATCAACAACCCCCATCCTCGGGTAGTTGTGCTACTGTAATTACTATACTCAAAGATATATGTACATTATGTTATAAGTTATAACCAACTCATTACTAATTTTACCCACTTCTTAAAATAAATCGAGTTAGTGTATTTTGACTGAAATCTGTATATTATATTCACTTGTACAATTTACAATGATGACTGTTATACACGCCACACGCGTGTAAAAATCAGTAGGAACCTTTAATTAAGTATAAAACATATTTGGTTAATTATAAGCTAAAAATGTGAAGTCGAGATTTTTTTGTGGGAGGGAGAGGGGCTTCAAATATTGTGGTCCTAGGGCGTTATTGGTGGTTAAAGCGGCACTGCGCACGAGGTATTCGTCGTTTTCGTCAGCCTAAGTGCCAGCTTCCATTATGTTTACAGTTGACTGTTGACTACAATGTCTTCTAAGATTTCGAGTAATATGAAGTTTACCGCGTCGCGGTCGATGTTATGATAGTTGCCATCTTTTATTTTTTGAGTGAAGATAATAATATGTACGTGTACCGTGTACGTTAGGATTTAATTGAGAATTGGTAATGAGCTAAATACAAATATTCCAACGCAGAGACCGATCTCCGAGAAAATATCCCAGACGATGACGTGTATGTTTACCTATCTTTCTCGTCGGCCAGCAGCATTAGAAGAATTTCGAGCTCGTTAATTTTTCTAAAAACCATTATTATTAGGTAGGTATTAATTTACAATTGAATAATATTTTAAGGTGAATAGTTTTTGGTATTACGATTATTTGTATATTATTCTGTGACTCGATTTATACTTTTAGGTGATCTTTTATATAATATGTTACGGGCAAACTAGAAAATTGAGCATTGTCCAATTAGATTTGGGCACTGTAGGTTAAATATTGAATAGGTATATTAAAAATCATATAAAACATCTTACTGAATATTAAAAAATAAACATAAAAAAACTTGAAATAGATGCTTCAAATATTAAGTTGCCCATTAATAGTTTTTAAATCTATTATCCAATATAGTATGGTACCTCCTACTGAAGAATTAATAGTTTTATCTAAAAGTGGTTTGACATGAATGTAATGATTGATAAATATTATTGATTATTATTAAATTATAGTTATTTTAATAGTTTAATTTAAATCAATTATTACTAAAAGGTAATGTTAGACACATATTATGATAGCATTATATTACTTTATTTATTATCACATATTCACATACACAACTATTATGGCACTGTGAGTAACAAAGTCGACCAGAATTGTTGTACATATTTGATTGGTTTTACATAATCATTCGAAAATATCGAATAGGGGTTTAATGATTAGATAATGAAATATTATCTAGATTTATACATATTATTATGATAATAATTTTAAGATTCTGATCAAAGCGATTAAATGTACTTATTGTTTTTAAAATTATATTTTTTATTTTTGTGTATGAAGACAATTTTTTAAATAGAAAAAAATCTTCTGATCATCGACTTTGATGGAGGTTTCTTGAAGATTATTTGATCCAAATAGTTAATACTTTTAGGAGGTAAAAATTGAAACAACTAAATGCTTTTTGAAATAGGTAATCAGGGTAAAAAAAGGTGGGCAAGCGAGTGTCGCTCTGCTGTACAGTAGGTTACAAGTGGGTCACTATATAATGGATGATATTAAATTTGAATTCAAAGATATAATATCATTGTATAAGAAAAACGATTCTGAGCGGAGACGGTATGTCAGTCGACAGTCGATGTATAAGACATATTATATACATATCTATGGTATTAAACAAAAAATTGACCTATAATAAATTCCAAATTAATCATATCACAATATCCATTGGGTACTTATAACGCGTTATACATAAACAAAAACCGTGATACTATCATAGATATATAATAGTACACTTTAGAAGTTTCAAGTACCCACGAATAATATTATTCAATCACAACAAAATAACTAAAATAGTTATTCTAGGTTTTTTAATATGTAATTTCGTCCAAATTTGAATTTAAAATGTCAGTAAAAAATAACTGTGTTTATATATTTTTTAGATTTTTTGGTTACAGTATGAACTACCTATTTATGAGAACCTTTGTGTTGAATTTGCAATCCTTAGCTATAAAAACTGAACATTTTATAATTTATTAATTACAATGATTGATAATTTTTGAGATTTTGATAAATTTTATCAAAATTCGATCTTTAAATGCTTATAAGAAAAAACTGTGCCTATGTATTTTTAAAATTTTTCAACTGCTATTGTAACAATATATCAGGAGCCTTGTATTAAATTTTTGGTATTCATGCCGTATGCGGTCTACCGACCGTTTCTACACGTCATATGCGGTCTACCGCATCTAGGTACATTTTTGTCTACCACGCATGTGGTCTACTACATGGTTAAAAATATGAATGAATACATAAATTTAGAATTTCAATATAATATTAAATAATACAAAAAATATATAAAAATACGCATTAATTCATAATAATATGTAAGTAAATTTATTTAGTATATAATATGTATTAAAAACTAACTGACAAAAAATATAAAAATATATAGAAATATGTATTAGTCAATTTAAATTAGGTACAATATAATTTCACATCTCTCAAAAAACAATCAAATGTGTTGTCATTCTTGTTTTTTAGACGCCACCATTATTCCGCTAAATACGAGGGCAGCAATGATGGAGATTTACCATGCATTTTTTTATAATAATTCGAAGTTTTAGACTTCCCCATAAACTTTCAATGCGTTGTGTGTGCGCACCACTGGTGGGATCGACAAAAAATTGGGAATGATTGACGGTTTTATGTATGTACCCTTTATTTTCTATCGTCTTATATGCAAGCCATTCATCCGAGTGTATTTCTGTACCAACTTCAATTTAATTTTGAATTATTTGGTGTAATGTTTGTCTGTCTCTTTTCTCTACAATAAAGTATCTTGCATCAATAACACCATTTTCATCTTTTTGACACATACCAAACACCCATGGACCAGTTAGTTTTTTACCATAATTTCTATTATTAAAATCAGGTTCCTCTTCGTCGCTCAACTCGTCTACATCAACATTTTCAGTAGTAATATCAGCCCCCAATAATCGTCCTCTGTTGTACTTTCTTTTACCACGCATTAAGGATTCATCGACTTGAACAATAGTATTTATACCCCCCATTTTACTTCTTTTTTTAAAAGCAGCTATTGGTATGTCATGGCATAAATTCATCCAGTCAGTCACTGTGTGATTTCCACGCCCAGTTAATTTTATTATGGTACATTGGTACTTTGTGGTATTTCAAAACACCAATAATATTATAGTTCTAAAATTTGTGACAACGACAGACCACTATTACATTGACTATTTTTATCAGTATACGTGAAAAACGTGTTACCTTTACGGACGGATTGAGTTCTTTGACAGCCTTTCTTTGTGCATCGTATCACTGTTCGTTCTTTTCCTCTTTCTTTGCGAGTATAGAATTTAGTTTGCGAACCACAGTGAACAGAAGGAGGAGTGCCGATTTCAATAAGTCCTCTTTCCTTTAAAAAAGCTACGGTATTTTCTTCCGATTGAACAATTGCATAAAAATGTTTGGTTAACATAATGCTTAAACACAGAGAATGCAGAATTGCAGAATAATGTATCAAGTATAACGGCACAAATTAAACTGTAACTGATTTTCATATCTGTATCTGTATCTATAAGATAAAGCTTAATACCTACCCGTCGAATGCCGCCGTCGGATCAACGGGAATGACCTAAAATATATATATAGATGCGCGACAGTAGACCGCATATGACGTGTAGAAACTTACGTCGTAGACGACAAGTGTGCGGTAGACCGCATACGACATGAATACCAAATTTTTACACATTTTGGCCCAACAGATAAAACTTTATTGATATTTATAGAAAAAAAAACTAAAAAAAATTGAAAGCTGTAAATGTCCGTAAACAGCTCAAAAAGAGTCAAAATATTTTCAAAATTGTATGGTGTATAGGAAATGCTAATATAAACATTCAGTGAAATTTTAATGTATCTACAGTTATTCGTTTTTGAATTACAGCAAAATAAGGAAATCGCTACATGAGAAATCAAGTGAATATTCAGTGTTGTAAAAATTTGAATTTCAAACGCTCATAAAAATTTAATTTGACTTTCTTATAGACATTTTTGTTTTGATAAAGGTAGATAATCTTATAAGGAATCTTGTGTTTCATTTTCAAATCTTAGATTTAAAAAGACAAATTTTTACGAATTCTTAACTCAAAATAATTTGCTAATTTTCGTGATTTTTCCATATTTTGTCAATTTTTGAACTTTAAATGCTTATAAAAAAAAAATATGACTAAGGATTTTTAATATTTTTCACCTGCCTTTGAAACAATATACTAGGAGCCTTCTATTAAATTTTCAAGCTTTCGCAACCAACAAATAAAATTTTATTGATATTTTTAGAAAAAAAACTAAAAAAAAATGGAAAATGAAAATGTGCCTAAACAGTTCAAAATAAATCAAAATATTTTGAAAATGTTGTCATGTATAGAAAATGCAAATATAAACAACCAGTGAAAATTTCATGTATATACGTTCATTTGTTTTAGAGTTACACCAAAAACCAAAATCGATTTTTTGGAAAACCTATTTTGAGTAAAAATTACCGTTTTTCCTTAATTTTTATGTTGTTTTTCCCGGCGCTTGTGAAAACTACTGTGAAATTTATACTTTTGACTCCCCAAAGTACCAACTAGATTCACTTTCCTATCAGAAAAGCTACTGATGAAGAAAATCCAAGCACTTTTACTGTCCTAAAACGTGATGACAGACACAAAAAAAAAATAAAAAAAAAAACACACATCATTGTAAAATCAATACATTCATCGTTTCACTCAGAATCTAAAAATTAACGTCTGATGTTTAAATATCGATGTACCTATTCAAGTGTCACGTCATAAAATAACGGTACCTATCTCATACCACGATTTTCTTATTTTCTTATTACTGCGTTTGCATGTTCCTCAGTACTTGTCTATAATATTTAGGAAATTACCTTCAATATTAAATGTTTAATTTTATACGAACATACTTGACAAAACGGTTCTATTATATATAGTTATATACTTATATAGGTACCTACTGCCAATGCCCAATATACATATTATTGCGCAGATGGACTGAAAACAAATTTTTTATCAGTTTTATTATGCTGTACTATGTACGATGTATAGGTACCTCCGTTATCAGATATCGTTATTCGTCAAATCATCGAATAAGAACGATCGCAGTGTGATTTTATCAGACATTCGTAACATGCATAACGTTACATTACAAATACCTATACCAAATACTGTGTCTGTATTTTGTTTAGTTTAATTGTTTTAAAAGCAAATAGACTGTACTCAAAATTTATTTTGGCGAAAATGGGTGATGCCCTTCACGATTATACACTATATTATACACTATACACTTTATTTTATTCTTTTTTTTAACCTTCTATTTTTCAACTATCTAGTACAAGTATACATACCAAATTTATGATCTGTATCTATAGTTTATATTGTTTAGTTTTATTAGTTTTGACATTAGAGTGTTGATTGAATTGATTTAAGTATTTAACATAGGTAATCAAAATTAAACGTCGGTAACTATACCTACTTAAATATTACGACTATTTTTGTGATAGGTAGGTGTTTATTTGATATTTTGAATTTAATTCGATATTTTAAACTCGTTAAATATTATTATTTAAAATATTACTCATAACTTATTTCAAAATTAATATTTTAAACATTGTAAGAACACTTCCAACAATACAGCCATTGTTGTGTATAGCTTTGAGTTTGATAATACCTACTAGGTATGTCAATTCACTAATTCACTCTATACTATACCTGTTAGTTCTTACGGTGTTAGTTTATAAGTATCATTATATTATTTAGTATATATTATAATTAATTAAGAATATATTATTAGCTACCTATGTTAATGTAATCATTCATTACTTAATATGCGGTTTGCTCATCATTTTAATTTTAGATTATACAATTAGAATAATAGAATACGATACATAATTGCAAATATATAGGTAATTAATATTGCAAGATTGTCACCCGAAGTTCATCGTGAAAGAACAATATTATGTAGGCCGATAACTTTTATTTATAAGTCATCAGAAACCTGTTATAATAAAATATAAAAAATATATTAATGTAACAAACATACATATTATATTATACATACATGAGTAAACGTGTTACGTGTAGTAAAGAAGTGTAAAGATGTATAATGTATATATTGTATGAGTATAATTTATTAAAGTGACTGATAAACCATATCATTTCAAAAACCTTAACATTTTTTTTAGTAATTTATAGTCGTCTAGATATTATATATTGTAAATTTGAACGAAATAAGTGACTGGCTGTCTCGTGATATCTAAAAAAAGTAAATATATATAGATATACCTACAGGTGCACAAAATTGAACATATAAAAATAAACTATCTAGAACAATCGTGTAAAATAATATATCTATCTAGCCGAATCAATTAAAAAAGGTTAAAAGAACAATTTTTATTTTCATCAAACTGTATCCGGTATGAAACATCATATTAAATTTTACTTGACAATATTTTTCTAGATAAATTAATGTCTGTGCGAGCATTCAGAACAATAATATTTTGCGTGAATCTTTGTGAAAGTCGAATTTCGCACTGCCTTCATAAAAGACGCGATTATAGCTGAGATCAATATTGAGAAGAATTTGAAATATGGTAATATGGAAGATATAGCATATACCCATAATATGACTTCTGTTTCACGGTAGAGTATATGTATATATGTCTGGAGGTATAGGTATGAACCTTATACCTACCTATACCTGTACGTGACTATATAACCCGACTTGTTATAGCTAATTCGTGTCAGAATAGAAATTATTCACTTTAATACGGAAATATAAAACATTTCTACAATTGCACATTGTTCTTCATACGTGTAAAAATTTATTTACTAGCATACAGCTATATGTTCATTAGTTTTCAAATTATTTTGCTTTCGAAAATGGTCGCGAAAGTATAAATTCAAATAAGTCGAATTAAAAGAAGGTTCAATAAACTCTAACCATTTGCGTTTAGGCAGTTAAGCAGTATAAACAAAGTAAATCAAAATTTTAGTAGTACAGTTTTTTTTATAGTATTTTAAACATATAACGGAATACCTAACACTATATTTTAATAGTCGGTTGGTACTTAGAATAACAGTCTTAAGTTTAATAATGAAACACAAACGTCTGCGGTTGATTTATAATTTATTATTTTGATATTGTATTGTGTATATTGTATTTATAAATAAATATTAAATAGCGATTTTCATCATAAAAAAACTGCAAGTTGTATGATTGAATTTGAATACTAGGTAGGAAATTCAATAACCATAGTGGCATAGTCTATAAAGCAGTGGCGTGGCGAACGATTTTCACACAAGGAGCAAAGATTTTATTCTAAACACCCACCCACTCAATATTTTATAAGATATATAAAAAATATACGTAAAAAAAATATAGTACATTTCTTAAAAAGCATGAAGTTAATAACACATATTTATAAGTAGCTTTTAGATTATTTTCTTATTTAAGTTATTTTTTAAGATTCTGAACGGAGCAAAACAATGTTGGTATCCAAATTTTCTACTTAAGCATTTTTTTGTTGATAGAAAAGTGAATCTACTTAGTATTTTTTTTTTTTGAGGGGGGGATAAAAATAAAAAATGCTTAAATGCTTATAAAAAAAAATTGTGCTTATGTATTTTTTCACTGCTATTTGAGCAATATATCAGGAGCCTTGTAATAAATGTTGACCCTTTTTGGCCCTAACAAATTTTGTTGAAATTTATATAATAAAAAAAAATTTTAATTTTAAATTGCCCGTAAACATCTCAAAATAGGTCAAAATATTTTGAAAATTTTATCAAGTAAAGGAATTCATAAAACAAACATATGATCTAAATTTCAAGAATCTACGGTAGGTAGTTCGTTTTTCAATTACAACAAAAAAAAAAAATCGCTACATGAAAAGTAGAGTGAATGTAAAATATAATATAAAATAAAATATCCAATGTTGTAAAAAATATGAACTTCAAACTCTCATAAAAACTTAATTTAATTTGCTTGTAGACATCTTTTTTTTTTGATAAAGGTAGGAAAACTTTTGAGGAATCTTGTATTACATTTTAAAATCTTAGACTTCAAAGAGAATTTTTTAGCAATTTTTAATTCAAAATAATTTGCACATTTCCATGATTTTTAAGCCTATTTTGTCATAATTCAAACATTAAATGCTTATAAATAAAAATTGGGACCATGAATTTTTAATATTTCACAAATGTAATTGCAACAATCTATTAAGAGTCTTGTATTGTATTAAATATTTTAAAAAGTTTTTTTAGTCAACAAATACAATTTTATAGAAATTCATAGAAAAAAAAACTAAAAAATTGGAAACTGAAAATGTCCATAAATAGTTCAAAACAAATACACATTTTTTGAAAATGTTATCGTGTATAGTTAATGATAATATAAATAACCAGTGAAAATCACATTTAT